AATCACACAATGTAAGTTACAATCATCGACAATCGACAGAAGCTACCCACCGGTCATCCTTAAGTGAAAATTCAAACACCCGACAGTCCAAAAACAGAAAAACTTAACAAGAAACAACCTTTGCGAGAAAAAAAGCAAACAAACAAGAAAACTAAGAAAATGTATCATCCAAGATCTCAAACAACACCCTAAACTAACCTCCAGCATCATCTTTAGTGGTTACACTTCCAAGTGACCCGGGGCTACTCTTCCTTAGCCCAGAAGAAGCACCAACCGAAGACAAACACTTTTTTAAGTGAAGACTTTGAAGGGTTGGAGTTCGCAGAGAGTGGCCTATCCATTGCTGTTGTTGTTGTTCCTTTGAGAGAGTTCCTATGAGTCCCATTCCTATAATTACCACCAGCACTAGCAATTTCTTCAAAAACCCTATACCAAAAATCCTGTCTTTAACATGCCCACTTCTCCCCCTGAACTCCTGTTTCTTTTCTTATCGTGTGCTTGGTTGCAAAGAAAATGCAGTGAAAGCCAGAACGTACTTACTAGATAAAACGGTTGGACTTGGGAAAGGAGGTTGGTGTTGAATTTACTGAAATACCCTTTCGAAACAAAAATCGACGGTGCTTAAATGCGCCAATGGGGTGTATCTTTTAATCGTGAGGGATTCCTTAAATTACTGTTATACCCCTCCGATCCAAACTGTCCTCCAATTGTTCATTTCAGTCTCATTACTAAGACTAAGATGGATTATTTAATTTTAAAACTGTAAATATTCGTACCTTAGATTTTTGAAAATTAATAGTAGTAAGTACTATTATTGTTCTTGTAACTATTTTTTAATGATTATAGTACAAGGATTTAGTATTTTGTTCAAAATTAATTTAATTTTATATTAAATTTATCTATTTATATGACCATTTATGTTATGAATTATATGTCAATTGTGATTTGCTGGGGAATCATATAGTAACTTGGAAAATACTTATTGTGGAAAACACCAACAAATCTTCATGCAAGTAGAGTGGTTGCATTTATCAATTGCCATACACAGCATTAATTACCAGAACCAATGTTGGGTGTCCAGAGCTGGAACTTAAAAATGCATTACCGAGGCCAACAAGAAGATATGGCATCGGAAAATTGGATTGAAGAAAAGAAAACTAGCCCCGATAAAGAAGAAACCATAAAGCAGGTTTGAAAGGAAAGGCTGGTAAGCAAATTATGAGGTACAAAAAAAAAAAAAAAAAAAGAGATGGAGACAGATAGAGGAAGCTTTTCAAATTTGTGGCTGGAAGATGGCCCTTGAAATCCCAACGGCTAACTGGCTTGAGTATTTTTCTTTCCTTATTTATGATTTACAAATTTGTGTATCCTTAGCATATATAATATATATAGGATAATTTACATCTAGAATTATTTTCAGATAGTGGGTCAGGGAGCCCAATTGTTCATTCAATTTTGCAAGTACTTGAACTTGTGGTTGATGAAGATGTGAAGCCAAAATCACCTTTCAAGAGTTGGTGATGTGCAGTTGCCATGGTCGGAGGTTCCATCAGATGCTCACCTAACTGAATTTATTATGTGAATGAAGAATGTGTATGATTTTAACAGTTGAGCTTGCTCTCAGCCCTTCTAGCTGCTATTGGTTGAAATGTCCATTGACTCCCCACCATTTTTTGTAAGAGTGAATTTGAGCAACCTAAAGAGAAATTCTATTTGCTCCTTTTGAATGATACTTGACAAATATTGTAGACCATAGAATGTATTGTGCTTAAAACTGATGGGACTTATGTTTTGGAATTAAAAAACAATATTACTAGCCAACATCTAATTGGAACATTGACTTGTTACATATGAGCCAAGCTGGAAATTCGTAACCCCATATATAAATGCTAAAACTTTTTGCTTCTTTCTTTTCACAAATAAAAGGATTCAAAAAAATATCTGATCAACATTTAATTCAATGATTGATGCGTGATTCGTTGCTGAAGAATAAAGTTTAAATCTCTTCTTTTCCATATACATATAAAAGAAGACATTAAAAGAGGCAGCTATTTTTGAGAGGGATTGGTTAGATAACAAATAATCTATTTTTGCTTAATTGTTCATTAATGTAGAGGTTGTGTTCTTTCCATTGAGCAGTTAAAGATGAATTAAACCCGACACCAAATCATGTTTGAGTTTCGTTTAATACTAGTTCCTCAACCATCTTGGGCTAAACCAAATCAAATCACTATCCTTGAAGATTTTGAAATTAAAAGCTTGCTTTTATTACTAAAGGAATAAGGATACATAAATGCATAAACATAAAAATCCTTATAGATTACTACAATTAGTGATGAAGATGCATAACAGTAATGGAAGTCAGGTTTTTATTTCCTTGCAACATCAAAAATGGTCCAAGAAGAAGGGCACTGCCCCATGAGAACAAATTGTCAGTGGAAAATCTTAAATCATGAATTTCAATGAATTTACGGAAAAGTGAAATGATCTTTATCTAAAAGCAAAATAGAAAGTGCAAAATAGTATAGTAAAAGAAAGGAATCTCCTAATTTTGATGGAGATTTCCATCACTATGAAATGCCATTACAAGTCATGATCCTACCAAATTTTGTTAAATTCAGGGAAAGAAAGAGAGAATGAGCAAAGGTATGCCCACCACCGCAGGCCTTATGGTGGCCTGATCCACCATCCCGGAGGCCTTATGTTATGACACAACTTTTTATTAGAAGTTTCTTTTTACTACTTCATCTTTGCTTGATTAGACTCTTGAATCAAAAGCTAAGAGATGGTGGTCCTGAAATGCCTGTTCTGCCACTGCATTCAACAGGAAAACCCTCTGCAATCAAAAGCTAAGAGATGGTGATGCTGAAATGCCTGTTCTGCACTGCATTCAACAGGAAAACCTAAGAAAATGAATTGGTTTCATAAAAAAAAAAAAAAGAAAAAAGAATGGTTATTGATGCAAAACTCAAATCACAATATAATCAAGTGGCAGCGCTTGGGAAGTTATTCATCAATATTTAATGAAATAATGGGTCAAAAAGAACAGAAAGAATGCCCATAGTGAAAACATTGTGAGAGCGATACCTGCCACATGATATGTTGCAGTATTATAGCAGAAAAGTCCTAGACAGGATTACCAGCTAGTGATACGATAATATTATGATGGTTTTGCTTTGCCCATTTAAAAACGAAAGCCACCGCACTTGTTTGAAAGTACTGTTATTTTACAAGTGCCGATCATCCATTTCATTCCTTGTATATATTCAAATGAAAATATTGAAATCATTATCAGCAATCACTTTCTTTATCTTTAAGCAACTCTTTTTACCCTTCCATTCATCCAAATATCTGCTATTTGGTATAAACAACTAGAAATTGAGAGGTCAGTTTACATCCTAACCAACTTGCATGAATTCTTTACGGCGAGCACATGCTGTGACGTAAGTTCCAAGCACAAGTTGGCAGATAAAATGGAATTTCTTTTTGGGGGATTGCGTGAAATCTATAGATGGTGAAATATTATTGTTATAATTAATTGTTTGTTGCATTCAAAAATTAAAAGCCTATTAATGGAGGTTCTCTGTACTTTGCTCACCTGTTTTTCAATCACCACCCACCAAACTATGGAGGAACCACTAGTTGCAAGTATCATAGTATGAAAGAACCTCAACAAAGGTCATCGGTCAAACAAGTGAAAATCATTCAATGGAGAATTTATAATCTGACTAATTAGAAAACTGCTTTAGTACATTCAACAACATTCACAGATTCCCGGGATTTGGCCGTAGAATATGAACCGTATGATTCTAGGAAGATAATGTTATATGCACTCCAGAAGTTATTTGTATTGCAATGGTAATTTCTCCAACCAACAAACGAGGCCCATACCTTGTGAAACCGAATTTGAAATAGGAATTGGAAGTGGAATATGCAAAAACTTTTATTAAAAACTTCAATTACAAGGAGGTTTACCCGCCGAAACTATTGGTTTGGGGCAACTACTTGTTGCAGAAAGCAGTTCAAGAAACAAGTTGCGTTGAATGTTCAATGAAAAGACTCGTCTTAGTGCAAAATTGAGTTTAACGCATAAGCACACGTCAACTTAAAACATGATACTCTGATACAAATTCAAAAATAGCAGCCTACTCATAAAGAGATAAAATTTGGTCATTTTCTCGTAAAAGGTTAGGGGCAAAGATGACCTAAATCGATAGACATTCCAGGAATGCCAAACTGATAGAAGATTCTCAGCTATGATTTCAGCTCTGCTCCTACTAGAAATTGGTGATAGTAGAATGGAAAAGTCCTATCATAGCAAAGGTTTCAGAAATTAGATGAGTTGGGTTAATGGTACGGGTAGGGGCAGCATAGCAAGGACAGTTTTACTTGTAGCCCCATGGCTTATTTTAGGCTCAAGACAGGTGCCGGTCTTCTAGTGGTAGGAATAGGACTAATGCAGTTGAACAGCCTTACGGCAAGATACAACAACGAAGTGGTTAACTGGACTCTGATTCCATACCAATAATTATATAGAACATTACCTGGCTAAAAATTTCGTACGTTTTTATGAATCAGGTGGTTGGAATAGACACGAATCAAAATGCAGGTCCAGTATGGAAATAGAAGCATGGAACACAATTAAAGAGAAAGGGGTTGATGCACTTCGTATAGCCTCTATGAAGCAATAGCTAGATGAGGCAGGCAAGTAAAACAGGACGTCAGAAGGAAAAGAATCACGATCACAAGGTAAAACTGGGTGTATTGGGTGGAAAAGAAACAACAGCCACGGTTGAAAATAGACCTTTTCTGCGTACAACAGGTATGTCTCCATAAGTCACATTGTGTAATAACCAGAGAGCAAGCATGGTAAGAAACCGGAATATGTTTACAAGATGAAGAGTCATGGCAGCTAAAAGAACTTAATAACAAGTACGACCTTATATATCAATCCAGTATTAGAAATTTTGATAAGATTTTAATCCAACAAGCATAGAATGTGGATAGAATAAAAATTATATAATATATATCTAATAAATATGGATATACTGAAAATCAAGCCACAAACATTCAAAGTAAACTGAGAGCTAAACATTCATTGATCCATTTTTATTATGGAATCAACCAAAGCCGCCCCAATACTGCCCCAATCATCCAAAGCCCCGCAAAACACTAGCACGAACATTAAAACACCCTGCAATTACCCACTGAACCTAAATCTAACAGAACCCTCGAGCAGCCGAGAGGTCCAGAAAGAAAAAGGCAAACCCATTCAAAAATACCGACTCCCGCAAACTGCATCCAAGAAACCCATTCAGAACCTCTCCAACTTATCAGCTTTGACGACAGGATTTGACTTTGCAATCGCATCACGTCCAGCACCCTTGAAATCAAAGGAGCACTCGTGCTTTTCCGGGTACCGGTGCTCGCCGCAGAATGTGCTCCCACACCTGCACTTAAACCCAGTCAATCCAAACTTCTTTAGACAGATAAAACACCTGTTCGCCGCCTTTGGCTCTGCCTGTTCATTACCAGCGACAACAACAGCCGGTTGTTGCTCAACCGCCATCGATGAGGAACCCACATGAGGCAGCTCCTCAACAGGCTTAAAAGTCTCCACAATAACATCTTCCTGCTTCGTTTTGACACTGAGGGATTTCTCCATGGCAGCTTTCGCCTTTGCAGCTTGCTCCTCCCCAGCCCGGAGATCCCGATAACACTTGGAGCAGAGGTTCATATTCGCCGCCGTGCCAAAAAATCCACAGCCGTTGGCGCAAAGTTTTGGCTCGGATGGTGGAAAACTGGTTCCTTCATTTTGTTCAGAACCCATGGTTTCTTTTCTTCTTCTGTGTGCGTTTGCTTTGGTTTCTACAATCAAAGATGAGAAAACAGGATTAGGGTTTTATTTAAGGGTTTTTTTTCCTCTTGATTTTCACGGAAAATCAGAAAGAGTCAAAGTTGAATTACCCCCAACGAGCAACGCAATCAAAATATATAGAGTTTGATTATTTTCCCAATCCTAATGTGATGGTCATTTTAATTTATTATTATTAACGAATATACCCTTTACCTACATGCTCTTTACAGATGGGTCTATGCCGACCTACCAAGGGTATTGTCGTCATGTTAATAAATTGCGTAGCCTGATCAAACGCGGAGAAGACAAAAATCAAACCAATATACAACTTGAAAAAAGAATAAATTATAGGTACCAATAAATACAGATAGTTATTTCTAGTGTTCATAAAAAAGGAGGGTAATTTCGTCTTTCAAATGTCCACTTAAACCCAAACTGCACCTGTTACCACGATTCAGGAGCATTCTGAAGCTTACCTATTCAATCTCAAACGTCCATCGGAAAATCGAACAGCTACCAATAGTTACCAAATAATATATTTTTGGCCAATTAGTCAAATAATATTAAAAAAAAGAAAAAAAAGTTAAAATTTCTGTAATCAATGACCATGAAAACCCATATGAAAAAAAATAAAATTCAAATCGAAAAATAAAACCCGTAAAACGTACCTCGTTAATTCGAAAATCGGAGGTCTTTTGTTTCTCGTTTTATTCTTTTTTAGGCCAGCGTCGATCGATGAGAAAAAATCAGGAAATCCACAGACGAGAGGATGATGATAATTGTTTTTTCAAGTCCTGAATTTGATAGAAGAAAAAAAAAGAAATTTCGAAATAATTTACAGGAACAGAAGAAAAATCCTTATTTGTTTTTTGGTTGGAACAAACAGGAAAAGAAACAAAAGGGAAAACGAAACTGAAACTCGAAACAAAACTAGAAACCAAACCCAAACGAAACTCTTCGGTTTGGTTTTTAACTTTAATTTCTTTTTTTTTTGGGGGGGGGGGGTGTTGGTTAGTTTCTACGGCACCCACGGTTTTATGTCGGCGTGGCAAGGGTACATGTTATTTTGATGGGAGTCCAAATCTGAGCTGCAGATTTAATCCTGATTTTGTGCTGACGTCAAGGATTCCATCATCGACGGTTAGTAATATGGGACCCCCTCTTCTGGGGAAGGGTGTTTAGGGAATTTTAGAAGTTCCAATAAAATTGTTATTTCTTTAATTAATAAAAGTAGCTTTGAGAAAAGGGCCTCTGCTCTTTACCATCCCTTCAGTGACACGCCTCTTCCCGATTAAACGTTTACGGCGAACCCGGTCCAATTGTGGGGCATAGAGCCGGACCAAGTCTATATATTTGCAGATTTATAATTTTTTTTATTTATTCAAATTTTATTCTATCTGAATTTGATCATTAATTATATTTTAATTTATCATAATTTATTGAGTTTGTTGATTGATTATTCTATAAGATATAAATGTTATTATATAAATATAATAATTGATTATGATTACATTTTTTTTATACTTATAATTTTTAAAAATTATGTTTGGAGATTACTTAAGAAATTATCAATAATAACAGAATAACAAATTCACATGGTAATCATGCGTTTTTAAATAAATAAAAAAATCATATTCCATTAATATTTTTTTGTTATTAATTAAAAGAATATGAATTTATTTACACTTTTAATTTTTTAATTAAAATAAATTTGTATTAGTGTTATGAATTTAATTTTAATTTAAAAATAATATATATATAAGGCTTACATTTGATGGATTTTTACTTTAATTAGAAAAGGGTCATTGAAAAAATCTATCAAATATCAATGGATCTTCTTCCCTATTGGTTTCACTTTTCACCCACTACTTTCCATCTTATTCATTAACCCACTTCTTCGCTAATTATCTCTTCCAATTTTCGTTATAAAAAATAATTTTTTCAATTTTCATATTAATCCATATCTATATGTAATGTATTATATTTCCACACTCACTATATGGTTAAAAAGAAAAAAATAAAAGTTATCTGCAAAATATTTACTTGATGAGTTGAGTGAGTAGTTTTTAAATAAAATATATGTGAAAAAAATAAAAATAAAAATATTTATTTACATATTTTTTATATTATTTTATTTTGATCTTTGAATTATAATTTCATTAATGGAATTAGTGTCATTTAATCTGTAATACTAATACCAACTAGTATACGGATAATAGATAATAATATATAAATACAGATATTAAAAATGTTTTAGACGGACAAAAGTAAAAATATTGGTTCATTAGATTTCTAAAATATCATTTATTATTTTAAATTATTTTAAATTTAATATTTATAAAAAAAATAATATTATAATTAATTGACAATTTTACTTGATCTTAACTTTAGCTACTTAAGTTTTAATCCAATTCATATATTAATATTAATAAAAGTTTGAAAGAAAATGATACTCTTAATAATATTAATTATTTAATTTTTATTAATGATTTACTTATGATTATTATAAAAAATGTTACGCAAAAAATTAGACATAAAATAATCGGATAAAAGATTTATTCGACTGTCAATTCAAACTCAACATTTTCGTCTCCCACCTTCTTCTAGTCTAAGAGTGTAAATGATACATTAGTACTCGTAAGTTATTCGGGTTCGATTCGAAAAAAACTCGAATTCGATTTGATTATTATCGAGTCGAGCTCGAGTAACTCGACTTATCGATCGAGCCGAATTCGAATATTCTTATATCCAGTTCGAGTAGCTTGCGAGTCTAATCGAACTTTTATATTTAAATATATTTTTATTATTTTAATTAATAAAATATTTCGAATTCGAGTTCGAACTCGAGCATAAATAATCGAACTCTTGTCGAGTTACGAATCGAGCTTATTTTTACATATTAATCGAGCTTAATCGAATGAGCTCGAGTAGCTCGATCATGAATCGAGTTCGAGCTTGAAAAATAAAACTCGATCGAGTTCAAACCGAGTATCGAACCACGATTTATGAATCGAGTTCGAAATCGAACTTCTCACTGTATCGACTCGACTCAATTCAATTACACCCCTATCCTAACCCAATCCCTAACCTTTTTTTTTCTTTTTCCCTCCAAACCAACAAAAAAAAAGCAAAATTTTGGTATAAAAAAATTTTAAAAATTAAAATCTATATGAAAGTGTTTTTTGGTGTAACCAAACATTTAAAGGAATGATAAATGTACATATGTTTCAACTAAATAGTTTATTCTAATTTTTTTTGCAATTGTATGAAATTTATTATTTTTTCTATAAAGGAAGTCAAAGCTTAAAAATAAAAAATTATATATATATTAAAATTTAATATTAAATAAACATATTAAGATAGAAAAATTAATTTCACTATTTAATTAAAGTATAAATATCTATTTTATAATTTGTCCCTTTGTATTTAATTAGCTAAAGATGCAATTTTCCTTTCCCTTTTTTATGTTTCGATTGATTTCGTAAGATCAAGAACAACAACAATGAAAATGGCTCCTTTTTAGGGAGATTATATGAACCAATCCCTAAACCTAAATATTTTATTGCTATGGGCGCGTGTACAATTACAGAAGGATATTCAGAACTAATTTTTATAGTACTATTCAAGGAGTCAACAAACTAATTTTTGTGGATGTCTATTTGTCAGGTTGTCCACCAAAGCCTAGGCAATTATAGATGCTATAAATCTCATGAAATCTATGAAGATTGAATTAGATCTCAACAAGGAGATTAATGTTTTACTCCCAATCACAAGTTTTATCTTATACGCAATACTCATATTATAAATTATAATAAAAAATTATTTTATTAACCATCATCTACTTTTCTATGTATTTGGATTGAAGGGATAAAAAAAAAAAGAAAAGTAAACGAATCTAAAGATAACCATTTTTTATTGTTTGGATAAATTTTTAATTTAAATAAAAAAATTAGAAATCAAATAATTTTTGGTTTCTTTTATAAATTTAATTTTTTTAATATCTCAATTTGAAGAAAAAGCTAAAGAAAGGAAAGTTGAAAAATATTTTTTTTATAAAAAAATTATTATGTTTATTTTTTTATTAATACTAAAAACTTAATAAAAAATTTTAAATAAATCACAATCATCATGTAATTTTTTTAAAGTCATCTTTTTTTTTAAGTAAGTTTCACATATCTTTTCCAGTATAAAAATTTTTTGTAATTTTTTAGTGATTTGATTTTGATGAATAGTTAAATATGAATAGATATATTTTTTAAGTTTATGAGATAACAAACTAACTTAAAATTTATCAATGCATGTTTGTAAATATATTTTCTTATTTCACTTGATTAAAAACTATTGATATAGTAACAATTATAAAGCCAAACAATATAATAAACATATCATGGTCTAGAGTGCTCTAAAATTATAGGCAATTAAAGGTTATAATTGAAAAAAATTATTATAATAAATTATTCTTTTATTTTTCACTCTTTATCCAAATAATGATTGTTAGAATTCATTTCATTTCATTTCATTTATTAATTTTAATTATCAAAACAAGAGTTACATATATTTTTTTATTTCTTTTAAATTTAAAATTTTTTATTATTTATTTTTTTTATTAATATTTATCCAAACATAACGTTAAAAATTCCTCCTAAAACATTTTTCAATTACAAAATTTCAATACCATCTCACGAATTAATGAATTAGGTAGGATTAAGAAATAGAAAAACAAATAACCAATTAATCTTGGTAAATTTGATTGGATTCGGAAAATGGGCGAAATAGAAATATTGGGCAAAAGAAAAGCCCAGCCAACCTTAGAAATCCAAATATATAAGCCCACCTCAAAAGATCCAATGTTATATGGGCGGCCCAGATATTGTTGGAAACAAAAAATTGTAAGATCCTTTATCCTGGAGAGAAATAAAATGTGAAAAACCCATCTCCTTGTAATTATAATTTAAAAAAAACCCATCTTGTAATGGAATTATACTTTTACCCTCTATGAAAAGAAATATCCATTTATTAGACTTTAAAGAAAAAGTTGAAATTATACCATATGAGTATCCCTATTTCATTGAAAAATATACAGAATAAAAAATAGTTAAAATCCTCTTTCACTAACAATCCCTTTGATAGTACGGTAAAAATAACATTTTATGATCGGACCTTTGAATCGGTAAAAAAAAAAACTAACGTAAAAAACAAGATAAAAATAATATTTAATTCATCTTCGTTTAGTGATTTAATGATCACAGAAATCTTTAGAAAAACATAAAGGTTTACTTTGGAATCAAACCTTTTTTTTTTGTAATAAGACTTTGCTCTCCCTTTAAACAAAAAAAAATTTTTAATTTAAGTTCTGTCATCTTAAAGAATTGTATTTCCTCAATTTTAATTTTATCTTTGATGTCTTTTTTTATTTGAATTGGAAATTTGATTTGTATCAATATTTTCTAGTAATTATTAATTAATATAGTACTAGTAAATTGATCATCAATTTTTTAGTTTAAACTGATGGGGGAAGCTACAGTTTTTGACAATCCAGTTTTGTTTGACTGAAACAAATGCTATCACAAAAGTTGTGAGCAATAATTTTGGCTAAGCATTCAAGTTTTCAGCAACCCCATAATTTTTTGCCATGATCAATTTAGCACTGCCTTCTGCTCGTAAATGGCAATCTCTATTGTTCCTGATCCTTAAGCAGGAGAGCTCTGATAATGGAGATTACGTAGGCAGATAGCCATCATTACATCCCAAGCTCTTCCTTCTTATCCTTCTCTTCTCTTTCCTGTTCCCATCTCTAAAGTTAACCTCCTCCTATATATATATATATATATATATATATATATCATGTATTTGCTGCTGATGATGCAGCACAACTCTTGGTATGATTTTTGCGTCAGAAGCATATTTTTTAACTATCAAACAAAAACAGTTTCACATGCCTTAAATATAGTAGTAGTATTTCTGAAAACATTATATAGATATATCAAAGCATCTCTGACAGAATTCATAGCATATGTAGACGAAAACATTGCATAATCTTTTCACAAGAATATATCATAATATACAAGTTGACAAACAAGACTCAACCCAAAATTTCTAAGTATCAAAATGGCCATGATGTCTTGACTGTGATGTTAGATGATAATGTGCTTTGGCTTTGGATATAGCTAGAGGGCAAGGTGATGATGTTGATGATGAATGTGCACACACCAATATGAAAGAGGGTAATCGATTGCAGTGCAATAGCACAGAGAGAGAGAGAGAGTTTGAGTGTTTTTTTATTTTTTATTTTTGGATGGATCTGACACGCAATTGATGAGATTTGGATGATCAATGTGGAGGAGAGAGCTGGACCCATAGACGTTGGATTAATAGGCAGCCACCATGATTGACATGCATATGTGAGAGCCAATACGTCAAAAACAATGGAGTGTTAGTGTACAATCTTTCAGGCAGTACACTTGAAGAGGAAGAAGAATAAGAAAAGAAAATTAGAAGAAGGAAGGTATATATGCTCATTTTATTGTTGACTATGTTATCTCTGATATATCTATTGCCTCATATTTATCACCAAGTTTTAGTAGCTGTAGTAAAAGAAGAAATAAGTGAAGGTCATGAGTATGTCCAGTACTTTGATCTCTTCAGCTGCCTCTCAACCTTCTTATAGTTCAAAATTGAATCATTATGATTCTTTCTCATAATATTCATAATCTTATACATATATACTTCCAACTTACCATTTTCATTTTTATATATAATGTGCATATATAAACTTTAAATTGACTTGCTTTAGATTAAATTCGAATATCATTTTTTTGGGTATTGACTAAGTAGTAAATTAGGCTAGCTTTGAATTTTTGATTCACATCTTCCATTGCCCATAATGACAGTTTGATTTTATACATCATTTGAATGTGTTGATGAAGAAAGAGAAAAGGGGAAGCTAGAATGATTAAGTTCATGTAACCTAAATAACCCATCTTCCATTGACCAAATCACAATGCTTTGATAAAATATCTCCCATTTCATAACAAGAGGGGATTAATGATGCCATCTCCTAACTGGGTTTTTCACCAAATGAAAATTTCTGGTCAGATCCATTGATTAGTAGGTCTTTAATCATCTGTTCATGAGCTGCAAAATGATCACATGTGAAGAAGAATATTGACGTACTATGATTAAGCAGCATCTAGCAGAAGTCAAAAGATCATCGAGGTGTCATCTTCATAAATCTCAACAATCGGTTAATGTGATAATTGCCAAGTAGCAGAAAGCTGTGAACCGTGCACAAAGTCTACCAAAGGCATATTATATAAAAGAATGACGCCCCCCTTCCCATTTGATTATAATATTTATGACATTCTCAACTATATCAATCATCTCAATAAATAAATAAAATAAATTCAAGAATTTGTATCTAAATAGATCGGCACTGATTTGTTAACATTCCTAGCTGTGACTATTTGATAATTGTATCAATACCCAAATGCATACATAAACATATATGTTATCATCATTATCATCTGTCATGAAATATTGTTGAGAAAAATTAAAAGGTGAATGGGGTTTTCTTTGCTCAGGCCTTCAGTTTGGGGTTTGACTCTTAGATGTGTGTGTTCAAACCAAGTATCACGAGAGAAATAAAAAGGTGGGAGAGGCATCAAATTGAAGATGCCATGCCACCTTCCTTCCCTCCAATGGTCCATAAACCTCTAGCCCATTAGCTTTAACAAGTCATACGATTCTCAAGCTGCTGGGTCCCTAAAAGGCATGGTGATGCCGTGAGGCTACTTGTAATTAGCCTAACCAACTACACCATATCCAAGTTGACTTTCACTGCAATTTGCAATCCCAAAAATAACTACTCCTTATCACAGCCTCCATCTTTAATTACAATTAGATATATGGTGATTGTAATTTATTAGCTAGGTAATGTCTCTGACCACCATCCAACTTTAATCAACTTCAAACAATTGATTAATGGTCCGACATGATGACAATCTGACAGCTTCGTCAATATCTTACAATGAGATGACGTGTCATCTGGTTTGCCTGAGAAACAGCAAAATAACAGATTCCAAATGATCTATGGAAGAAGGACAGAAAGCTAGCAAATTATAAAAATGAAAATTTACATCCTGGGGTTTTCAGCTGTCCATCAATGTTTATGCTACTTGAACTATCTTCCCCCAATTAATCTCATCTCCTCGAGCACATTAAGAGGATGCACTGAGAATTTTGTAACGACCATAAATGTGAAAAAAGGAAAAAAAAAAAACAAGTACACTTGAGCAGAAATAATAATTCGATCCTTTGTCAATGATCATGTAATCGGAAGATATTTTTCTTTTAAAAAGAAGTTTGGAAAAACTTTTGGTTTGGATGTAAGATATATGAGTAGTAAGTAACTATCAAATATTTGAAATAAAGGAAATTAATACGAACAATTAGGTGAAACATTATAGTTCTAAACAAGGACAGTTCATTTTGTCCAAAAAAACAATCAAAGAAAGTTATGATCATGGGACACTATTTTGATCGGCACATGGGAAATGCAAAAATTTCTCTGAATCTAAGTTGAATGGAGATATTTTTACATGTGGGTACTTTAATTTGATGCATGCTAATATGAGAGGAAATTAAGAAAATAACAGTAGGATTAACCAAATATAGGCTATCTGGTTTGGGAGTTTAACTTTGTCTTCCATCATAATTAAGAAAGTTATATTGGAGATGAGGCTAGGGAGGGTAGAGACAGGGAGGCATAGAACCTTCTTCCATCTTTTGGGGTTTTTCTTGTTCATTGATCAAACATTTGAGGTTGCTTACCTTTGCAATCATGAGTCCACCCGCCATCATTACAACTGAAGAGAAATCCCTCTCTTTTTCTCCCTTTCTCTCATTTACATATCCTACCACATGGTGAAAAGTCACAAATCCAACTATATTTGTAGGAGCTTATTTATATATATCCCTTCTTTCTCTCAATTTCTCCTCACACCTTTTCCACCATCACCATTTTCTTTATCTTGTTCTCATTCATTTAATCATTTTTACTACTCCTTCAATACAAAAAGAAATCGTACAAGGATGTGTAACAACATGGCTTGGAGCCCCTCTCATCGCATCCCTGCTTCTTCAAAGAGAAGGCATAGATCAAAACAAACTAAAGCTCAAATTTACAGGCTTTCCAGGTATATATATATTTCATATCACGTACTACTTTTTAAGAGTTGTGTGTATATCTATGCATGCATATATATGTATGATTGTTCTAATTCAGGAAAAGATGCGAAGAAAATGTGGCGAAAGACATGGAACTAATGAACTTGAAGCTCTACTTGGAGAACCAAAGTATCATTGAAGAGAATGACAAGTTAAGGAAGAAAGCCAGTCTTCTACATCAAGAAAATTTAGTCTTAATGTCTGAGTTTCAGAAGAAGTTTCCTCATTTGGATCGTTTTTCCACCACCCTTTTGCTTCTTCTGCATAAACACTGATGCAGTTTAAGAATAAAGAATCATCATCTTCACCCTTCTCTAGCTCATATATATATATATGCCCTCTTTGTGTCTCGAAAGCTTCCCCCTAATTTCCTTTTCTTTCATGATGTATATCAGCAATAATTTTGTAGCATATGATGTTTAAAGACTATATATCAACCATGCTTTAGCATGTTATTCCTAGTGATCCCGGCCAATTCCAAATCACTTGGATGCATTGACCGCTTTAAAACTTACATAAAGTATATTTCCTTGTAATTCAAAACTGTTCTTTGTCCATAAAGTTGTTAAGAATAGCATAGAGATTAAGCTTACTCTGATAGGGCTTTAGTGTAAAGTTTGCTCATACATTGGAAGGGAAAGGAGAGCATTTGGGTTACTGATCTTTGAATGTGGAATTTATTACCGAGTAAAAGAGAGACATATCAGTCAATAGACCCATTCAAAACAGCTGTTTGTTTTTCATTATTTTTTTTTCTTTTAATGGGATGGAGGCTTCAAGGGGCATGACTTCATAAATCATATAATAACCATCAACTCGAATAAATAGGTTCAGTTTATCCTAGCCAAGAGAAACTCCATGGCTAAGAAATGAAGAAAAAAAAGTAAAATAACATTCTGCTAAGGTCAACAACCCCTCCAACCAATAAAGGCTCACCACTCCACCAACCTTCATAGATTCTTTAGCTTAAATCTTTGGGGACATACTGCTTCAAACGTAAGGCCTAATTCCCTTCAGCATCCTTATTTTCTCAAACCCCATTGTTTTATTAATTTGCCTGTAATTTGGCATCTTTGTCTCTCCTTACTGTCCTTAAATATTGCTTTTTTTTTTGTCAAAAACTCATGATTGCCATTTAACATTCTTCAAAGAAATCTCCAGTTATTGTCGCATATCAGTCAAATTAGAAATTATACCCAGGCAAGAACGTCACATTACAGAATAACCGATCAGAAAACAAGAAATAGATATTCACAATAGCTGCTGTCACCTGTTAATGGAGTAATTTTTTTTTTTTTAAGAATTTTTAATTCAACTGCAACAAGAAAGGCTCAAGTCAAACTAGTCGGTTGACAAATTGACCAGGCACAGCAAGAGAGAGGCTTTTATTATGGACACAGCTCAAACCATGATAACATTTGACTTTCAGGCTGCTTCCAGCCATTCCCAAACAAGCATGAGAGGCAACCGCCTTCCATTTAGATAATACAAATGTTTTTCCCTGGTGAAAATTTACTTTTGTCACTACTGGGGAAGCTTCCAGCCTGCCATATCCTTTCTGCAAACGGTAAACAATTATGGCTATTGATGTACTTAGTAGCACCGGTCTAGTTTAGCTCTCCAATAGAAGGATAGCACGTAGCAGTAGACGATATCCCTTCAGTCGCATTCAATGGATTATAAGTGTGGAACTTCATAGCTTCTGGGAACGTTTGTCTGATAATATGTAGATACGAAATGCAGCAAAACACATGGTGGCGTTACCTATTACTGTCAGTGCAGCCTGAAGAGCTACCAATACCTACAATTCATTGGAATATATTGGAGTCATTTGAGACATTTTATTTCAATATTTCATGCTGTTCACATCAAGCGCACAACCACATGGGACAGAAAATTAGTCATCTGCAAAGCAGTCTAATTGCTAGCGAGCTGAAGTATGATCTTCTGATACTGAATTCAGCAGAACATATAAGAATGCATGGCCAAAGCACATGTATAACCTAAATAAAATGGGTAGAGAGTCAAAAGGTATTATTTTATTATGGTTTTTGTTAATAATGATACTAATTTGAGGTACTGATAAGGCTAAGCATAACAGAGATTTATCTGAAACTATTATACTTATTTCTAGGTATTTTTTCCTGGTAGACAAATCCAAATTCAACAAGCCCAAAGTTCAGGCACTATGTTTATCCTATGTTATGCAGGTAAAAAATGGTTAGGTGGTTCAACCCTTTAGGAAGTATAAAATAGGAAAGCTTGACTATTTCCCAGTCATTTTGTTTATCAAACATTATACTCATAAAAATTGACGCGACGATGAGCTTGGCTCAATTTATTTGCCATGTTTCTGGTTGCAGTAGCCAGTAGTAATACATTTGTCTTTGGGTAGGTATGAAATTCTTAAATCTTTGGTTTCTCAATTGCAACATTCACATTTTGAATATAAACTTTTCCGAAATTAGTCTATTTGTAAGCATAACATAGCACTTTCATCATGATAAGTATTGAGGTTGTACAGAAGTTAAAACTCCAAAAACAGACATTTGTCCATGCATCAATGTAAGCCAAATGTTTCATCTTATTGTTTCTTTACCAAAACGTCTCTGTATCTCAATTAATTCAAACTTGTCTTTGCAATTTTCCATCAAAAAGAAAAAGAGAGCAGAGAACCTTCTCAGTTCTTACCTCAAGTGATTCAGAATTGTAAAAGAAATGCCATGTGCATGCACAAAATGCTCCACCAAGTAGAGGTACCTGAGACAAACAATTATATCAGGAAAAATAAGAAACTTAACCTGTAGATGCTTGACATAACATACCAGTCAAATCTATGACATTGAGTTCCAAAAACAGATATGACTCCGTCCTCCATAAAGAGTAAATGAATCTAGTGGGAAGGATTTCCCAACAAGAGTAAGCGGCAAAGTGGAGCCTCTACTATTTTCACCCAATTCAACCAAGAGTAAGTAAGAAATAGAGACTTGGATGCACCATGATGAATCTGAAGGCAGTGCATTCTATTGTATAAAAATTCGTAGATAGATTCTTAAAGTGCAATAACACCAAAGCAAGAGGGTTTGCCCTAAACAATTATATTCTGTTCTATGTATCAGACAAGTCTTAATGAAGGCTACACTTTGATTAGTTGAGAATTCTTATCAGAAAACTCTACTCAACGAATGAAGGCTGACTAAAATGAAAAATTTAGCAAGAAGATTAGACTAGCCCATAAGGAATATAGAAGCTATAGAACATCATCACTGCATAAACCTAACTACCAAACGAGAAAGGAGCACACGTGAGCAAAATCCTTACTTTAGAGTTAAACAGTAAACAAAATGCATTGAGGCCCCGCCTGATAAACACTAATTTACCTTTTGCTTTTTTTCTGAAAAAAATAGCGGAAAGGGAAATGCAAAAGACAAACTTTGAATAGAAAACTAAGACAAATAGCAAAAAGCAAAAGCTTTTACAAAACGAAGCTTAAGGTAATAGATCTTATCTGCAAGAACTTGGGACTTGGTACATTCAGGTTGGGTGATCGACTCCGGTCTAAAAAATGAATTTTTTCTTCAAAACTCAAATGGCAGAACAAATAAAATAGAATAACCATTTCTTCTGTTCTTAAAACCTAAATCTATAGGAATTAGGACAGAACATAGTGCAGTCACTCAAGAAGGTATGAACATGTTGTCATAGTAAACCACTTTACAGCAAATTACACAAAACTGGTTCTATGACAAAGAAATTCATACATGCATTCATTAAAAAACTTTTCTAAACAAGGATAAACTGAGAAGAAAAACTCACCATACCCCAAGAGAGACCCTTCCATGATTCAAACCCAGATTTCTCTCCATATTGCCACACCAAAGCCATTGCTGTAATCCTTTTGACAAGATAAATCTCATTAACATCGTAAACGCAGTCACAAAAGAGAACCATGATTTCAGTTCAAAAGGAAACAAGGAAGTTTAGATAATCCCATTAAAAATCAAAACCAAAAGATACCCAAGATAGGCAAACTACAGAAAAACATAAAGAAACCGATTACCCGAAGACCCATCAACCAAAAAAATAAAGAACCAAATATCCTCACCATTCAACAACACTGGACACGTGTATGGCCCAAGTGGGCAGAGACAAGGCATTAGCGGGTTCACTAAGCGGCGAAGAAGTGCCCAGCAACAACGGTGGCAACTCGGAGGCCGAAGCGGAACCCACAAGAGCCAAGGCCAGAACCGACCCGACTATACCAACAACGGGTTTCGGTTTCCAAATTAAACCGCGAGCCGACAGTTTTTTGGTCAGTGCCGGGGTTTTTTTAATTTTGGGAGTTGGAGTGGAATGAGTTTCTTTGAAAATGGGTTTCGAAGAGCAGAGTAAGGTCGTGGTCGCCATTGTTGGAGATTTTGGAGGTGACTTTTCTAGTTGGTCGATTTTTTTTTCACTGATAAAAAGACTTGTTAGTTTTAGTCGTTAGTAGGGACTCATTTGAGAAGTTTATTAAATGGTGGAGGGAATTTTGAAGATAAGGTTTAGATAAAGCCGTGATTTAAAATGTTATAAAACATACATTAAAGAAGTGGTGTTCTCAAAAAAAAGATCAAAGCGTGCTTTGGAACAAGAAAGAAAATGTCCAAATTTATCTGAAATCTTAAGCAAGGAAAGCATACCAGTAATAACCCACTTTTTCTTTCAAGGCTTTCATTCATTGTAATCGGCTTCGGAGAACCATGCTCCTTACTCGGTTAACTACTCATTTAATGACCTGAGCAAGGAGCATGGCACTCCAAATCACCTACTAAGTTATCCATGCCCCTTGAATGAACTTGGTTCAGCACTTCAATGAAGAAATGGAAAATTTCTAATTCTCTATTTGTGTAAGGATGAAAACAATACTAAATTACAAGGGTTTTGTTTATTCTGTGGAGATGATCAGGGGGTGCACTCCATCTGCCCTACAATGATCCCATTTCAACTTTGTATTGCAAGCAAATGTTATGCATCCTAGGACAAAGGATTGAGAATCGTCACCAATCTAACGAACTCTTCATTTTTCCCATTATTCATTTTTCTTTGCCCAAAGCATGACCAGAGAGAAGCCCATCAAAGACATGATTACAGTCTGCAGATCCCAAAGAGGAGATGGTTAAGAATTAAGTTATAAGCAATATGCCTTCAACATAACTAACTATTTGGAACTTTGAAATAAGAAGAAAAATATTGAGAAGATGGGGATATGGAATGAAGAGAATTGAAAAAAGTTTGTTCACCATTACGGATAAAGCATCAGCATATCATATCAGAAACCAAACTAGCAAATATTTCATCTTTAGATTCTTCAAGCTACAACAAGCAAATAGGAAAGCAATGCAAAAAGGATCCCCTTAACAGTTTTTTACATAAGCATCCATCTTCGACCACGTTGGAGGAAAAGTATCCTTAACCTTTTAGGGCGAAAGGTAAAATAATTTGTATCTCATTCCTTTTCAAAGAGGTAGTTAGAAACAATAAGGGGAAAAGATAACAAATTGACTTACAGAGATAGCCGGAGGTACACCCACAAGTGGATCATGGAAGAACCTATTAGCAAGTGCGAGTGCCAGAAGACTGCTTTGCATTCCTGCAAATATATATATATATATATATATAAGCAATATTGCAAACTAACAACAACAGGGAAAAGAAAAAGGGTTCTCACCTGTCTCAAAGGATAGAGTTCTTTGCAATGCTTTCACGTCAGATGCCTTGTGGAAGACAAAACCACTAAGGAAATAACCAGCAACGAATGCTGATAAATGGAATGCAACAATGAGCAACAAAACAGTTAAACCAAAAGGGGATAAAACCGAATTAATGTTAATAGCGAGTGGTGCTCCAACACAGAAAGCTGTATCAAGTACAGAAAGCGGAGGCAAAAAAGGCCTGATGGCTTCACAAAGATGAGGGAACAACCTGCAGACACATGGAACAAATAAGAACTTTCTGAAAGTTATCATCAAGTTCAACCATATTTATCCAGGGTTAGAGTATCACTGATTCAGAAGCAACCCTGCTGCAATAGGTGCAATAACAATCTGCAGAATGCTAGAGACCATTCCCATGACATCAACTGGCAGTCTTTTTCCAATAAGCAGAAGAGACAACATTGGTGTAAAAAAAACAGCAGTAGCAGTAGATAATGATGTCATAACAATGCTTAAGGGAGCTAGGGGTGGATCTGTTAGAAAGGTAGCATAATTTGAGAGCTGGGCACCACTGACACAGGAAACCAACATAATCCCTGCACCTGATTCATAGATCAACATTCTGTCAGCATAAACTCTCCAGTTTTAATGCAAGATAGTCAGAACTAATCTGTAGTAGGATAGAACACAAAGACAAACATATACCCACCTAAAGGAGTAGGAAGACCAAACACTGTCACAGCAATCATTCCAAAAAAATATCCAAGTAGGGGCTTCACAACAAATTGACCAACAAAACCAGCAACAATAGCATCTGGCCTTTTAAATGCTTTAATAAAATCCTTCTCACTGGAATTAACCCCCACTGCAAACATCAAAAACCCTAATGCAGGGGCATAGTACCTAGAACGAGATCAAATAACAGGGGCATAAGCTAAGGTCAGTTCGAAAGTTCATTGCACTCTTTTATGTAGTGTAACTTTTTTTTGTTGCATAAACTGTATTGATTATCACTTGCTTAGGTTCTGGCCTCAAAAGTTGCCCCAATTCAAATACATAGCATTTAAAAGGAAAAGGTTGTAATGGATCTCATATAATTAAGATAAAAAGAAAGAATGAATCAATCCTGATTTCAAAGGAATGGCTTAACTGAGCATGAAAACTCACAGCTTCCACATCTATTTGCCATTAAAAGCAAATGGGTGAAAATGCATGGTGAACAAATTCATAGAAAGAATCAACTAACCACCTGCTGGTAAACCATGTGAAAGAAGGCGGATAGACAAGAGCCAAAATTGTACTAGCAAGGACTACATGAGGCAGAATGGAATTTGATTGCTTCAAAATCTCCACTACAGAAGCCTTCTTTTGTTTAACCATCTGAAACAACACGTACACAAGAACTACTATCAATTTTGCCCATAATTAATCGGTGGTAATCTCTACAAGTAAATAGATGACCACATTTTTTTAACTTCAAGCAACATTGCAAAGAAATCCCATACTTGAATATGCAGTATAAAAGATACCAAATTTAGAATTTGAGTATAAAACCACCTTTATAAAGCTTTGACCTTTGAGTTCCAGGTAACATACTACAATATTACAGCAAATCGAAAAGCAAGATTACTTTTTGAACCAAATAAAACTATCCAGCAGGGAAGTTCAATTTAGCTCAATTTGAACACTACTTTATAGCAAAACCATGAGCACCTGATTTGGTTCGGGTCCATATTCCTGACCTGGATCCCTTTCAGAAGAACCTGAAAACTTCTCTGATGCACATTTACACACCGGAAATCTAGAGCTCCCAACTGCATAAACAACACAAAGGCACACAAAGAATGAAAAAGAAAACGTTTTTAGACCAAAACCAAGAAAACCCATAAGACTAAATGACTAATAAAACAAGAATTGAAGGGCAACAAGAACAAAACTCACACTTAGAAATGGAGCTGACAGGAACATTGGAACTTAGTGGCAAAACTGCGAACTGAACTCGTTTTGGTAAATCAAAGCTATTGTTTTGCAAGAAAACATGATTGAATTGTGGGCGCTGGATCAAGAACTGACTGGTGGTTGAATTCATTTTTTTTGTTTTTTATGTATTTTTCAACAATGAAATGTTTTTCTGGCCTGTCCTCTGCTCTGAAAATTCTTTTGGAAAGTGAACTACGAAACATTTCAATTATTGGTTTGGCAGATCTTAACTAACTACCTTTCAAATCCTGAAAACAACAAAAAAAATTATAAATAAATAAAAGCATAAAAAGCCCAAACTCAACAAGAACTATGGAAAAGAATATTAAAATTATTGATTCTGCCAACTGAATTAAATCATCTTATTGTGATTTACTCATTTTTCAATGAGTTTTTCATTATTAATTAATAAAAAATGAGATTTGTCCTTTCTCAGTGCAAAGATATGTCCTAATTGTCAAAGTATATAAAGTAATTAATTATATCCTTTTCCAGCTTTAATCATAATCCTTTTGCTATTTATGATAAATTTTTCTTTTAGTGGGAATCAATAAATTTATATTAGGCAAATTGCAAGTTCAAGTAAAAATCTGTTATTGGTCAAATACATAAAAAACCTGTAAATCAGTATGTAATATCTTTTTTTTCTACATCATTTTGGCGTCATTGCCAGATAACGACAGTTACTCTTTGGTTAATCATTTGAACTTTTTTTTTTTTTTAATCTTTCAAAAGTGTATGATTTTAATTAGAACAAAATAAAGTTTATAAGCTTATTTATAAATAATAAAAGGTAAGTAGCTGAATTTTATTTTGTATATGAAATTGAGGACATAATTTTTTTTTTTGAAATAATTCTTCAAAAAAATTCGAGGACAAATTTAAATATTAATCCTTAAAAATAATACTAATTAGTAAAACAGAAAAATCTGTGGCTAATCCGAAGTGGAAAAAGAAAAGGAAATCCTGGTATTAATACAAACTACAAATAGGAAATCCCAATCCTAATCTAAAAGGGATTAGTATAGAATCATTATAAAAGGGAGGGCCAGCAACAATTCCTTACATACAATCAATCTTTTTATTTTCCCACTTTCCATCCCAAGCTACCAATGGCACTCTCCGATTCAAGCCACCACTACAAGATTTACGTTTCTGCAACACCAAACAATGTTTACAAGGATGATGAATCCTTGGAATCTCCACGGATCACGTTCAAGTGTAATATCAAGATGAGTTACATATCAGACAAACAAAACAAATCCATTCGAAGATATATTCAAGACCATGATTCGTGGCATGAATTTCAGCATCCAGCCAATGAGCTGACAAGGGATTTTATATCTAATTTGTTAGCCGATACTAATATCCCATTCTCATTAAGAAATTTACATTGGAAAAAACAGATTTATGACAAAGAATCAGTCCCCTTAATGTCAACAGCTGATGTTATAACCTCGATTTTGGATGTTTGTCATAGCATGGTCAGTGCAGCTTGTGAATCAGGACGCAAGAAACTGTTTCTGCTTGTATTGATCAATAAAGAAGTGACTTTGCCCCACGATGAATATGAAGCAATGCTCATGTCACGAATCGAGGCATAACATGGTCATATTATCTTAAAATAAAATCTCAAAACAATACGAAGCTTAATCCATAATCATTGAACAACTCTCAAATATAAAATGTTCTCATTAAGTAACATAGTTAAATAATAAGTTTCCAAATGTTCAAAGTCGAGTATTACAATTAAAATAAATAATACTTCATAAAATCCTATATTTCTAAGTAGTTCTCCAATGCTCAATTCTTCTAGCTTTTCTCAAGCTAATCATACTTATCATTTATAATATCTGTAAAAAAAAAAAAAATAAGGAATGAGCAAATCACAACTCAATAAATAAAGGTTCACACACCTTACTGGATCAAACATCATTTCATACATGTCATATAGATCATTCAAAATATTCATCAAATCATAATGTCAAAACATCTCAATATCATTGTTCTGTCAAACATTCCGTAAATTTATAAATCATTGTAAAATATGTTACTATTCAAATATCATAATCAAACCAAATCATGGATCAATCATTAAAAATCATCGTAAATCATCATTATCATAAATCATCATTATCAATCAAATCGTTATCATTCAAATTGTTAGCTACGGTCACTGCTATAACCCGTGATATTGACCGTATCGACAATTTCATTCTCATGATCATTGCTAACTATTATAACCCGTTAGCCAGGGCTTACGCTAACTATTATTACTCATTAACAAGGGTCGTATGATCATGTCTTTGCTAACTATTATTACCCGTTAGCCAGGATCGTAGAACTAGTTCTGGTGTCGATGATCCCACTTCTCAGGGATATCAAAACGTAGACATCACAAAATCATTCTTTAAACAAAAATCATTTTCTCATTTCATTCATAAGCATGATCTATCATTTATATAGAGAAACACAAAATAATCATATGCTTGATCCTATTTTCATGCATCGAAAATAATAAAATAAGATATTCATTCATTTAGAAACATACATATATACATAAATTCGAAAACAAATAAAGTGTGTGAGATTCGACTTACCTTCTTCTGATTCCACCACCTAATTTTTCTCCCTCAAAATTTAGTGGCCTATTCAAGATAATTCCAACATAACAATAATTAGTCAACCCATTTGAGGCCACTTATACCAAAACAATTAAGTTAAACAAAAAATAACCCAAGTAATTAATTCTGACAGTTTGCGCTACTTTCACTAAAACGACCATAACTCAAGATATCCAATTCGGAATTAAAATATTTTTAATGCGTTAGAAACTAGATTTGACAAGCTTTCTAACCATATATGGCCCATCTCGTGATTCTTTGTGGATTAATTATAACAATTTTTGTAATCCACGTCATATGCTGCTGCCAGACAGCCTGTATATCTTTTCATAAAAATTACATATTTATTCATAAGTAACTCTAAATTCAATTTCGCTTATTTTATTGGAAAGTAGACTCAATAAGCTTTCAAAACATATATGGCTTAATCTATAAATCCTTGTACAAAAATTAAGAGAAATTTCGTAATTCCTCTTTACTGCTGCTACTAGGCAGCCTGCACATCTTTAGGCAAAATTTTGATAACTCTTCATAGAGAACTCGTATTCAACACCCGTTTGTTTCATTAGAAAGTAGATTCAACATGCTTTCCAACCATATATAATAATCATAATAGTATTTAATCCTTTAATACAGAATATAACCTTAATTCATCACTACAAACACAAGATTCATATCAGGATTTATACGAAACAAAGGTTTTCCTTTCTATTCCAATCAAATTTATGTTTCATCAATAAATTCACATTACCAACTTTCTCAACACTTAATTTGACCTTAATTAAAGTCTAAATCATCTGCCTAAAGAGGGATAATGGAAACCCTAAAATTTTAGGGTTTCTCGATTATAAATTACACCTTAAGACTTAACCATCAATACTTCAAAATTGAAAGAGATTATTTACTCACCTCTAATAGACAATTTCTCCTTGTAGATTTGTTCTTCCCTTCACTTGGAATCCTTCAATTGATCTTTTTTATATAAAAAACATATGAGAAATAAGTTTATATTTTTCTTTCGATTAATCGTCGACTGAAAACTGAAAAGTTAACTCTATTAATAAAAAAAATTGAATTATTTATCAATAAGTCCTCTGCATTTCTCATTCTTTATTAAAGAGTCCCCTATTTATAAAAATATTTAAAATAGTACTTTTTTTTTTCGGGTATTACAGCTCAAGGCAAAAGAAACACAAGAAATCCTTCGCCAGATTGAAAATCTGGTTCGGTTGCAGGCTCAAGGTTGGAACATCCAACGATCAGATTGGGAATTCATGGCTTATGTAATTAGACAAGCGGGACTTGGTAATTCGATGAGGAACGCTTTGGATTTAGTGATGGAACGTGCGACAAGTGAGTCGAGACAACAAGCACTGGTTAGGTTGGTGCCTGCAGCTGCAACATCGATTCAAGCCTTGGAAAAGGTGACTTATAATGATTCTAACTCAGAAGAAAAATGTTCAGTGTGTATGGAAGAGCTGGTAATTGGTTCTGAAGTTACTCGCATGCCTTGCTCCCATGTGTTCCATGGTGATTGCATTGTTCAATGGCTGAAGACAAGTCACATGTGCCCGATGTGTCGATTCAAGTTGCCAACAGCATAGTTTTTATGATATTAGTTGCTAGCAAATAGCAATTTGCTTCTCTTTTGAATTTGGTTTTAAGTATTTAATTTGTTTATTATTGCTCTGGTAAGTTAATTAGAATGTTTAAAACTAGTTTGAAGATTGATATATTAGAATGGAGAATTAGGGAATGATTTTTCTGATGTCATTCAAATTTTAATATTTATAATGCAATATTTTTTTTTATTGATAACAGAAAAAAACTTGGTTGTGAAAAAAAAAAAAAACAAATACAATAGTTCTTGTTGGAAGAATTTAGAAGAAAATAAGTAGCAAAGTTCCTTCAGGATTTCCATCCTAATTTGCCGTTTCCTGTATCAAAGTTCCAATGCAATGTCAGAATCAAATATGTTCCCAACAGATATATATATATATATATATATATATATATCAGATGTTGAATCTCATGAAAATTCCTTTCAAATTAGATAGGTTGTTTTGGAAACAATCACGTCAGGACAAAGAAACTGTCCTATTGGAAAACCCTTACAAAATCGTAAGAAAACCACAACAAATAAGTCTTCTCAAAACACTGCCCAAAACGTTGGTTCCTAAGAAAAACCAATCAACAACAATTGCTTAATTCTTCCAGGAATAGAACAGCTTTCAAGCTAGCTGCATTTGTGGAACAAGAAGATTTTAAGAGTAACAGGCATCATCAGCTGCACTGCAATACCACCATCTAATCCTCACCAATAATTTCCTTATAAACATCATATTAATATCCCCTTTCAACTTGCAAAAATTTGTATGGTAACTTTGGAAAATCTACAAGATTTGACAGATTGCAAATTTTCTTCACACCCTCAAAAATGCAATTCTCAAGTAGTTGCCAAAAGACACGTTTCCTCAAATTATTAATGTAGAGTTTGGTTCAATATTCACACAATACTCGAAGGAAGATTTCACTAGCAAAGCGAAATCTTCAACCTGACTATTGGAATATGGGTTGGATCATGCGGACTCAAATCATGAATACATCTGCATGACTATGTATTTAATTGCCAATTAAAATTGTCATCAGTCACGTCTAATTTAATAACTAAGAAAAATTAAAAGGAAGATTTGGAGTATTAGTAGACAAAAAAATAATAATAAAGATGAAGAAAAAATTCAAATTATTATTGAAGCAAATCCTGAACCCAATTTGTATGCTTACGCCTGCCTTGTACTATAATATAAAATAGATTGGTCGGGGCTTAAAATAAAAAATGCTAACAACAGCGGTTGGTATTATTAACATGATGATGGGTTGGAGTTTGTTTAAAATTATGGAATTCTCTTTCTTCTTTTTGTTAGGGGGCATTGAGGACTAATCTTTTAGCTTATAATTGACTTGCATTATTCTTCTGTCACTGTATATATATACATGAAGAGAAGATAATACCATCCAATGCGCCAATGCACCAACGAGGCTTTAATTTAACGACGAAGAGGAAGTTTTAAAATTTTAAGATCCTAAGTTAAAGTTTTAGTGTGTGAATTTAATTATTTAATTAATTTGTAATTTATTAATTAATTATTTAATGATGTAATAATTGATTATATAAATATAATTTTTAATGTCATAATGTATAGATCTATAAACCTATCATTAGACATAAAAAAAGTTGTCATCAATTTTTTTTATCTAGATATAATTGGTCATCTGAAACATATTATAATATGTAAAAACAGATGTTAGATTCGAGAGTCGATTACGCATGTAAAATGTTACAGCACTCCCACAAAGTCAATCCAAAGGATGATATCAATTTGATTTCAAATTATCTAAGTCTTGATTTTTATAATTTATCAAATAATTTAATATAAAAAATTAATCTTAAAATTGTCACAATAATTTGATAATAATTTAAAATAATTCTCTCACCTCATAAGTATTAATAGAGACTAATGTTCTCTATAAAATCCACTCCTCTTATGCGATGTTCTGTGAAGTTAGTGTAATTTATAGGTAACTTTATAATAAATTTAAGAAACGAATAGAATCAATTCTAAGCTTGAATCTTGAGATTCGATTTTGTCCAAACTCCAAATTAAGTCTAGATTCCTTGTTGATTTCTTAAAAAAATTTTTGATTTGAGTTCTGATTGATCCTTTGATCAAATTCAATTTTCAATTTCAATTATTCAATAAACAGTTAAAAATAAAGAAAAAAAAATAAAAAGATAATAATAATAATAATAATGATAATAATAATTTTGATAATAATAATACTAATAAACTATGTATAATATAATAATAATAATAATATATACTATGTTAATATATTGGAATAATATAATAAAAATAACTCTAAAATTAATTCTATTGACTCCAAACATGTATGAATATCTACGCTAAATTATGAGTGTAACTTCAAAACCGTCGAATGCACATCGTTATAATTACCCATCCCTTTATTAATACAAAATTGAGATAATCATCATTATATTATCATTCTTCAAAACATCCTCCACTTTGAACACTCAATACATGATCATTACTTCCTATAAGTTTTCGCTTAATAATTAGCTTAATCAAAATTACAAGTCGAAAAAATTTTTGAGTACAAAAAAAATCTTAACATGAAAATAAAAATATATATTATAAGTGCTAAAAATTTTAAAAAATGTCACTCCAACATTAACTTTATAAACTGAATCACAACAATAATTTATATCCTTTTAGAGAAATATGTTCGTTGTCCTATTAATCTATCCGTAAAATTTAAAATTTTCATCAACGGTTAATAAATATATATTAATTGGTCATCCTTAACTTGTTGCCTTGCAATTGAGGGTAATGTTGCTTAATCAGATAAACTTGAGTGATCGGTACATAATTTAAGCTTGAAAGGCAAACCAATCAAATATCATTTGTCTTTGGAGAATGCTCTTCGCCAAAACATTCCAGCATTGATTCCTTTGCTTGGAGCTGTAAACATAGTGCCCTCCTTGTCTGGTTCCAATTTTTTTTTTCGTAAAACAACAGAAAGATAGAAACGTTAAGGAAAAGGATAGAATTACAGCACGCTTTCTATCTTTTCCCCAAATGTGGCAGCCAGCTCTTACTTTACACGTGTCCAAATATAATTGCACGTTCTCCAAATCTAGCACACCCATATGTCACTGTCACAACCCCCGACATGTCCCTTTTCCTCAAATTATTTTCTGGAGTCTAGCATTTATCCACATTTTAAGGGAAAGGAAAAATGAAGAAGGGAGCGAGTCAATTCCGTGTTGAGTGTTGACACCCCAAGTGTCAACTCGCTCAATAACTCAGTTCCTGAGTGTCACCAACGTGTATCGCACTTGTCAGTCTGAGCAATAACCATTTCGCCACGTGTCCTTCAGGTTCAGAACCTACTAGAAACGACACCGTTGCTTCAAATTACAACACTTTACAAAGGCAAGAAATTCCCAAATTTGTCCATTGACAACTGAGAGAAGAAATAAAAAAACGTTGGGTTTTTCTTGTAAATTAATCAAAAACCAAAAATCAAAGGTTTCCCTTTTGTTTCTTTTTTATTTTTAAGGTTTGCTTGCTTTGCTAAATTTATTCTCTTCTTAGCCTTAAATTCATCTACCAGTCTTCTTCACCTTCTCTTCCCATCTATCACCCCTCCCTCACACTTTTTCCTTCTCTAATTTTCTCAGAAACCAAACAAGAAATTAGGGTTCTTGTTCTGAAATTCAATGACTTTTTATGATGATAACAATCATGATAAGGGAGGGGAGGTGGTACCAGAGCTGAAGCTGAGAGTTGAGGGTGATGATGATGATGATGTTAATGGAAAAAGGGTGAATTTGAGGCAGAGATTATTAGAAGAATGTGAAGCAGAAGAGAAGGATTCGTCATTAAAGGAGCCAGCTTTTTCGTCTATACGGAGAAGGTCTATTTGGTATTGGATCAAGTTGGGAATTTTGCTTACCTTTGTAGGGTTATTGGCTGCTATTTTCCTCAAATGGGTTGGCCCATTTTTCATGGATAAGGTCGGTTCTTTTTTTTGTTCCTCTCAATTTCATGCCTTCGTTGGAGTTTTTTTATATTTGCAATTGCATTGCCTTGTTTAAGTAATTATGTTTTTTTTTTTTTTCTTTTTGCATTATTTCTTTTGAGTGTCTTCTGATCTATGTGGATTGTTATTATTGAGTTATGTTTATTTTGGGGGTTTCTTTCTTTCGTTTTTTTCTCAAAAGAATAAAAGATAGTTATTTTTAGTTGAATTTTGGATTTTGTAGTGGGTTTTAGTGATTGCATGGTATTAAACTGTTGATTGAAAGATGAGTTTCTTTCCTTTTCTCAACTTGGGTTTTGCACCCTTGTTCAATTTAAGTGCGATGTCTTTGACTTTGAGGCCTGGTATGGGGTTAGTGGTTCTTGTACATTTTTTATTCTGTGCTTTCTGCATATTGTCTAATAAATAATCGTGTTTTCTAGCATTATATGTTTTGGAGGCCATTGCTGGTTTATTCTTAAAATTGACTGAAACCTTCTCCATTGGTGTAATTGATGTTATTACTGACTGAGCACTCTATTTATTCAGAATTTGTGGATTGTCAAGGTTGGATGACTATGCTTTTATCTTTTAAGTTAGAAAATTTCACTGCTTGCCGACAAAGAGCCGTATTATCATTTGATTCTGTGTCTATCCTTATCTCTTTCTAACTTTTGTTCCTGCCACAAGAATACACTTTCTATGTTCATGTTCTTCTTTAGCATCTAAATGTCAATAAAGCACCCTAATGATTCTTTATACGGGAATAGTTTATGGATTGAGAAATTGAGAATAATAGATATGTGTTTTATGTTTTTAGGCACCTGTTGGTCAACGAATCTATAACAGAATAACAACTAACTTTTACTTCCTGGGATATGTATCTATGATGTGTAAAAACTAAGAATGCATCTTCATTCTTCCAACCAAGTTCTGAATTATATCTAATGGCTGCTCAGATTTGATTCATTTTTGAGTTGCTGTGTTTAGCCAAAATTGTTGATGTTAGTGATAGTTGTATTTTCTTTCCGATGATCTTTATGCAAACTTCGGTTAAAATCATGATTTCCTTCCAGAGACTACTGGAGTTTGTTCATTTATCTCTTGTAGGATATCTTTGCACTTCCTTACTAGACTTGACTAATGACATGATGACTGCAGGAGCTAATGCCTATAATAAATTGGGAGATGGCAACCTTTAGTACTCCGACGCTGGCAGTTCTAATATTTGCTTCTATCGCATTATTCCCCACAATACTTCTACCATCTACACCATCTATGTGGGTGGCAGGGATGACATTTGGTTATGGTTTTGGATTTCTACTAATCATATCTGCAGCTGTTGCGGGTGTATCACTTCCATTCTTTGTTGGCTCTCTTTTCCTTCACAGAATTCAAGTGCGTGCCTCATCCTAAGTTTTTATTATCCACCCTTTATTCAATGACCCTCTCTGACTATGTCAGTGTCTGCATAGGCATGTCTGCTATTGCTATGTTTTGCAATATTCAATTTTTTCCATTTTTTTGTAGGGGTGGTTAGAAAAATATCCTAAGAAAGCAGCTATTCTGAGAGCAGCTGGTGAAGGAAATTGGTTTCATCAGTTTAAAGCTGTAACATTAATCAGGATCTCTCCATTCCCCTATATGATATATAATTACTGTGCAGTTGCAACAAATGTTAAGTATGGTCCTTACATCCTGGGATCTTTGATAGGAATGGTGCCAGAAATTTTTGTTGCAATATACACGTAAGATCTCTCTCTCCCTCCCTTACTCTTTTTTTAGTATTCAATCTTGAGCTTGTGTTTAAGTATGCATATGCATTCATTTTGTATATGATCTTTGGTCATCGCAATATATGTGCATGTGCACTCATCCATTTCTCTTAAATGTACCTTATAATCCTAAACCATAACATGATTCCATCAGATATATAAACCCAAAAAAATGATACACACAAAGTGTATGAGCTGTACTTTTGGGTAGTTACAGGTTCAAAATTTTTAGGTTGCTTTGATATCCATTCTTTTCTGCATGCTACCTATCATCGATGTTGCGTAGTTAATGAATTTAACTTCCATACCTCCTGAACTTACTAACATATTGATTATTGCAGTGGGATCCTCATACAGACTTTGGCAGATGCTTCACATGAGCGACATGGCCTGTCAGCTCCACAGATTTTGTTAAATGTTGGTGGTTTCCTTATAACGCTGGTGACAACAATTGCTTTCACAGTTTATGCGAAAAGGCAGCTAGGAATATTGCAGAGAGAAGAAGAATTAATATTGCAGTAAGGTGTCGTTTGGTTTAGAGAAAAACCATCTCTACCCAAGCTAGGTGTCTGTCTCTTGTTGAGACACGTTATAGGGCTGGATGAAGTTTTATTTATTGAACAACATCATCCATTGAAGGAAATGTGCGACACAATATGGTCCTATGTAACATTGCAAAGGAGTGACACGTGGGAACCAAGGCAAATCTAACATCAAACAGAAAGGCTGTTTCTGTCTTCCATTTATTTAAAGAATTTTATTCTTTGCTCTCTCTCTCTCTCTCTCACACACACACACACATATTTGAGATTTGTAGCTGTCTTATGAAAGTTAAAGTGGTCCAAGGCAAAATAGCTGACAATATGTATATAATTCAATGCCATTTTGTTGCTGACTTTCTGAATATTATATCTCGCAACTGTTCATTGGTCTCTTTTATTGTATTGGATTTCACATGAACATGCTTCTCCTTTTATCCTTTTTCTATTTGTTAACCTTGGGTGCCAAATAAAGAAATGCTCATTTATAAGAATTGAGGCACTTTCTCAGGTATAAAATCCAGTTTCAACCTCAAACGGTGCTACAAGGATGATCTGTTGTGTTTGCTTAACCTTCAATCTTTGTCAAAGGTGGAACAATGTTCTCACATGTCTGTCTAAACTTCAAGATCTTAATAATATAATGAAATATCGTTCAAAGAATTGAAAACTACCCCCAGCTTTTTTCTTTGAAACGTTTTTGTCCAAAGGAATCTCCACTCTTTGATACATGGCAAGGAGTTATGAAAAAACTGAGCGAATTACAAACTCAAGGATTTAAAGTCCAAGAAGCACTTGGACTCCACTAAGTTCTCTAATCTTTCAATCAAGCCTTATTATTATAAAGCAAGTAATAATTGCCTTCTTCAGAGTGCATAATTGCCATCTTTGCTGGCATACTATGAATAGTAAATGAAATATGCAAAAACTTTTACAGATCCTAATGATGATAAGAGAAAGCATTAAACAATGCGAGTTCACATGGTTATGAACAACTGAAAATGGTAAAATTGTCATACCAGCAAGGAATTTCCCGTGACATACATAAATATATTGGCATTATTATCTAAGAAACATACAAACTTGATAACTGGTGGGGTTTGTTTCTATGCTACAAAGAACTAAAGTGAATTGTCTCAATTCCATCACTAACGCTCATTAATGTCGAAAATTTTGCGGCTTTTGGAACATTAATGTCTTTATGACACATTATTATGTTGGTTTTGGAAGATGGGATATCGTTTCAACACAATGATTATGATGATTTTGTGATATGTAACTTTAGAACTCTTAACATTATTGTGTTGTATACAGCAAAAACATGGATAACAACAATTCTGTTTCATCTAAATACGTACAAAAACCATTATGGAGATCCCTTGATGCAAAAAAAATTAAAGTGAGAAGGTTATCTTATTCAAAGGATATTTATATTGGATTTACAGCTTGCCTAAAGATATTACTGGTCGTCTAACTACTCACCTTAATTTTGCAATGGTCTAAGAACCCTTCTCTATATATGATGCAATTATAGCTGTGAATGCATTGTAAGCCAAAAGCAATACAGGTTAAATATCAAATTGTAGATTTTGAGCCCAAGGGGTTGAGAAAAAGGCTGCTTTGGCTACTCAGCACTAATGAAAATTGGTAGTCTGTCATTCTGTCAGTTTATTTGAGATTCTGGGTTGGTTTATGTCTAGTTGTTGGTTTGTGTAAAAACCTAAGCATTTGCACTCAAAGAAGCCTTTTTGTTAAAGCATCCTCTTTGGACCAGTTTGGGCAACAGCAAAACCCTTAAATCCCAGTTAAAAGCATCAAAAACATTTTCAAGTTTTTAACTTGTTTCTAAGTTATTGTCTCATTCAAGAAAGATGAAGACCAAATTACCAATTATATTATGATGCCAAGCATTACGCTCTTATGAGATTACAAAAGAAAAAAAAATTGAACCTGAATGTTGTTGAGAGATTTGGTTTATACATATATTCACTAGTAGGATTGAAATTGAAAGATTATGATTTATGGGCTGATTCTTAGAGGGTTTTGAAAGAAAAAATGATTCTACAAAAAGAAGAGAGAGAGAGAGAGAGAGAGAAATTGACATCTCTACCTACACAACTACCATGGCAATGAATTGAGAGGATGTTGCTTGGGGCTGGGGCTGGGCTGCTAGCCTGGCATTCCAGAAGGCATATTAAACAGTTTCCAAGCATTTTCTATGGTCTTAAGCTTAAAGTGTTAAGTGAAGTTGATATGTTCACATGGGCACGAAAAAGATTGATCAAACGTCTGAAATACACCATTGTTGTCGGGACCCTCCCCAAAATGAAAATGCCATATATCAGTAGGCAAGAGCCAAAGCCACCAACAAGTTTTTATTTTTTATTTTTTCTCTAAATTCTGATGGACCCTTCAGTTTTAGAATGTTGCTAATGGCAATTCTAAGGTCCATTATAGTGAGTTCCCAGGATACGTTATGCTAATCAGACTTTAAAATGTTCAAATCAACGGTTCATAAACAGTGTTTAGAGACTTTTAGTTTCTATCTTCTCTTTCTGTACTTTTCTTGACCTTTGATTGATTCTTCTCAGTTTCTAAGTTCTAACCAAAACCTTTCTACTCAGTCAAATGCACAACAAGACAAAAGTTTCAAGTTTCATCTCATTCACGTTAAGCTGTCAAAATTATATTAAAAAAAAAAAAGGGAATTTGCAGAAACCCATGGAAGCACATGGCAAGATCTGAGAAGGGTTGCTGAAGTTTTCAAAAGTAAATGGAGACAGGAGAAAATTCCCGTGGTCTAGTTGGAAATACGGTGTAAACGCTTTTAATTTTTTTCTTTTTTCTTATTCTAAAATTTCTGCTTATTAAGGAAAAATAAAAAAGGGTCACAATCAAAACGGAAACAAAGAAACTTCAATGCAATAAAGGGGAAAGAAAAGCACAACTCAATCGACAAAGAAAAACACCTAAATAAACCCAAAAAGCCAAAGCCAAAAAACCCAACCAATTTCTCCTCCTTTTACACTGCCTTCTCTTTTGGGTTTTACTTAAATTTTTTATTTCTTTTTATAAACATATATTTATTTCTTCTGCTATCTCTCTGCCAATAATTTGGTGGTGATGAAAAGGATTGGTAGCATGGGTTGGTGAGAGAGAATAAATGCTTGTAGTTCACAGACAAAGCCAAGGCTCTATCTTACACGGTGGTGAGTGTATCAAGACCACTGTGGAGTTTCAACTTTCAAGTTTTCTTCTTTTTCTTTATATATCAGAGTTTAAACTTAAAAAAAAGAAAAATTGGAGGATAGGGGAGGGAGAGAGGGTCGTAATGTAATGAGAAGAGCTGAGCTTTGAAATAGAAAGAAACGCACATGGTTGAGCTTCTGTTGGTGCAACCGTATAGATATAAATATTTATATATAGATAGTTATTAAATTGGCTCACCTGTTTTCGTTCCAGCCAAGACACCTTCATATTTGTTCTCACTTGTCAGTTGTCACCATTTTCATTGCATTTTTTTCTCCCTTCCTTTGTTGCTTTGCCCCTTTTAAACTCTCTTTCTTTTGTCTAGACCTGCAAGAGCTAAAAAAATTTGAGATTTTTAGCTTAAACCCAGAAAGAAAAAGGTGAGATCTTTGGTTCTGACTAGAGAGTCTTTGATTCATTGAAGAAAGTGTGGGTTGAAAGGGGTAATTGTATTGTTTTTGTTGAGCAAATGCATTTAAATTTAGCAGCTTATTGAGTTTTTGTGAGAGGAAGGAAGAAAGTGAAAAATGTTGGTTTTTGGCCATGATCGTGATGTTTTGTCTTTGGTAGTCCAGATTTTAACAAGTGCAAACAACAAGTTTTGCAATTGGAAAAGCAGGATAGGCAGATCTTCCTTGAATCTGATTCAATAATGCCAAACGGCTAGACCCAATTTTCTGTGTTCCTGCTGTGTTCCGAGCATGAGAAGGATCCATCAATTTATTTTTTCCCGTGCTTTGCTTTTCCTGATTCTTGCTTCTTTTGGAATCGGAATCCTCACCATTTCTTTAGCAGCAACTGAGAAGGAAATCTTGCTCCAATTTAAAGGAAACATCAGTGATGATCCTTACAACAGCTTGACTTCCTGGGTCCCAAGCGGTAACCCTTGTTTAAATTTCAGTGGTGTGTTCTGTAATCCAGAGGGATTTGTGGACAAGATTGTTTTGTGGAACACTGGCCTCAGTGGACAACTGCCAGCCGCCTTGTCCGGTTTAAGCTCTCTCAGAGTCTTGACATTGTTTGGCAACAGATTTTCAGGAAATATCCCGCAAGAATATTCACTGTTACAAACATTATGGAAGATCAATGTGAGTTCAAATGCATTATCTGGTTCCATACCAGATTTCATTGGTGATTTACCTAACATTAGATTTCTTGATTTTTCAAAGAATGGTTATACTGGACAGATTCCATTTGCTTTGTTTAAGAATTGCTACAAAACAAAGTATGTTTCTTTTTCCCATAACAGTCTTTCGGGTTCCATTCCGGAGTCCATTTTGAATTGTAGTAAGCTTGAAGGGTTTAATTTCTCGTTCAATAATCTTACTGGTCAATTACCTTCTGGAGTTTGCGGTATCTCAGTATTGAAATATGTGTCTGTTGGTAGCAATGCATTAAGTGGCACTGTGCTTGAAGAGATGTTAAAATGCCAAAGCTTGCTGTATTTGGATCTTAGCAGAAATTCTTTCACAGGGTTGGCTCCACTAGGTGTTCTTGAATTTAAGAATATTACTTATGTCAACATTTCACATAATGGGTTCTTTGGTGATATTCCTGTGGTTGGAACTTGTAGTGAGACAATGGAATTTATTGATGCTTCATGGAGTAGTTTGGAAGGGGAGATCCCAACAAGCATTTCAAACTGTAAAAGCCTCAAAGTTCTGGACTTGGGGTTCAACAGGCTTAATGGGACCATACCAGTTAATATTGGGGATTTGGGAAGGCTTTTGGCAATTAGCTTGGCTAATAATTCACTAAGCGGGACAATCCCTGCTGGATTTTCTAGCATTGAGTTGCTACAGGTCTTAGATTTGCACAATCTCAACCTTGCTGGTGAAATTCCTGAGGCTATAAGCAATTGCAGGTTTCTTCGTGAACTGTGAGTATATGCTATCTTGATGTATCTTAGATTTTCATCAGCATTGCTTTGTTCTAAGGAACTCTATTGTGTTGCTGCATTCTAAGGAACTCTATTGTGTTGCTACAGGGATGTTTCTGGAAATAGTCTAGAGGGACATATTCCCGATACCCTTTATAACATGTCAAATCTGGAAATCCTTGACTTGCATGGCAACCAGCTGAATGGAAGTATCCCGTCTAGTCTAGGGAACTTGTCAAAAATCCAATTTCTTGATCTCTCACAGAATTCACTTTCTGGATCAATCCCCCCTACGCTTGGGAATTTAAATATGTTAACACATTTTAATCTTTCCTACAACGATCTCTCTGGTATCATTCCTTCTGCTCAAACCATCCAGTCCTTTGGTGCATCAGCATTTTTTAACAACCCTCGGCTCTGTGGTTCCCCTTTGACATCCTGTTCAGGAAATGGCACAGCTTCCACACCTGGTAAAACCAAGGTCCTTAGTGTTTCTGCGATTGTTGCCATTGTTGCTGCTGCTGTGATCCTTATAGGGGTTTGTGTGGTAACCATCATGAACATCAGGGCACGCAAGGGTAAAAAGGAGGAAGCAACAGTTGTTGTTGAGAGCACATCATCAGGTTCTTCAGATTCCAATGTTATAATTGGGAAGTTAGTCCTCTTTAGCAAAAGTTTGCCTTCTAAATATGAAGATTGGGAAGCTGGCACCAAAGCTTTGCTTGACAAGGAGTGTCTAATAGGTGGTGGGTCTATCGGAACTGTCTACAGAACTAGCTTCGAAGGTGGGATCTCAATTGCAGTAAAGAAGCTTGAGACTCTTGGAAGAATTAGAAACCAAGATGAATTTGAACAAGAAATTGGACGCCTAGGTAACCTTCAACATCCCAATTTAGTTGCTTTTCAAGGTTATTATTGGTCCTCAACAATGCAGTTGATTCTATCAGAATTCATTCCAAATGGGAATCTCTATGATAATCTTCATGGACTAAATTACCCGGCTACTAGTACAGGTGTTAGTAATGCCGAACTAAATTGGTCTAGAAGGTTTCATATTGCCCTTGGAACTGCAAGAGCGCTTTCTTTCCTTCACCATGATTGTAGACCTCCAATTCTTCATCTCAACATCAAATCAACTAACATACTCTTAGATGAGAAGTATGAGGCCAAGTTATCTGATTATGGATTGGGAAAATTGCTTCCGATTTTGGATAACTACGGATTAACTAAATTCCATAATGCCGTTGGATATGTCGCACCAGAGTTGGCTCAAAGTTTGAGACTTAGTGAGAAATGTGATGTTTACAGTTTTGGAGTAATTCTTTTAGAACTTGTAACTGGGAGGAAACCGGTAGAGAGTCCAACAGTAAATGAGGTGGTGATTTTGTGTGAATATGTTAGAGGATTGTTGGAGAGGGGCTCTGCTTCAGATTGCTTTGATAGAAGACTGCGTGGTTTCGCAGAGAATGAATTAATACAGGTTATGAAGTTGGGGTTGATTTGTACATCACATATTCCTTCAAGAAGACCAAGCATGGCTGAGGTTATTCAAGTTCTGGAGTCCATCAGATCTGGAATGGAACCACAGTGATCAAGTAGCAATGGGTTTGCTGACCATATAGAGATTTAAGTATAGTTTTTGGAGCAAAGTTCAAAGAAATGGTAGTCTAGCTGTGATTAATTGTGCAGAGGAGACAGAGTTGCTGATTAGGGTAAAAAAGAAAAAAGATCATTCTTTTGTATTCATTTTGCGATTACCATCATTGATTTGTTCCTCTATTTGTAATTTTGTGAAATAAAAAGTAATCATTTACGTGCATCCATCTGTTCAGTTCTTTGGGCCGCGGTTAAGTTCAAGAAATTCAAACCTCTAGGATTAACAGCAATGGCAGCAGCATGCAGACGGTTTCCATATGTTGTCTAGGTAAAGCCTCTTAAAAGCATTGTTCATTCAAGAACACTGGAAATTGTTGCCGAAAAGCTTACTGAATTGATCACAACATTTCAATACAAAGGGTACAGAGCTCTTTAACAGTAGTGCCTTTTCTTTACTGTGTTTCCCAAGCCTTTGCAATCCTGGCGTGGTTTCCATATAAGATTCTGTAGTTGCAACGGTTTCTATGGTTGAAAGAAAATGTTGCTTGATGCTTAGCTTTTTCATTTATTGTTGGTCCTTTTGATATCAGGGACGGGCCTTTATGCCTTTAACTGCATATCGGCTATTGCATCTCCAGAGTTGCGCAGTCTGTCAACTTTGCTATTCAACTTGAAAACCTTTAAATTATTGCCCCACTCTATCTTCCTCAATGATACTGCTGCACCAAATTCAACAGACCATTTCTTTTTTCAGTTTCCTAAGATCCAGTGTCATTTTATTGATGAAGATTCTGACGCATAAAAATTGCTCAACATGAAACAATCAGATCTCCAAGCTTTTTGTGCATACAAATCCCAAAAACAATGAGCCCTACCTATAGTTGCGAATTGGGGATACGCACCGATCTCTAAAAATGAAAATTAATAAAATCATAGAATAAAACAGCATTTTAACTATTCAATTTACAGATTTCAGAAATTTTCTGAATCCGTTCCATAACTACAGGGATATCCTTTTCTGTCAATGTGGCGAAACAGAAGCGGAACCATCCAGGTTCAATACAATGACAAGAAGACCCTGGAGTTACGTTCAGCTTGGCTATATTCAACAACTTGTCCCAAAGCTTAAGTTCCCCTTTCTCGCTGTATGAGCTGATTAACCCGCTCATATTAGCCCAACAATAGAAGCCCCCACTACTCTTTATGCACTCTATGCCCAATTTTTTCAATCCTCCCACAAACTGAACATACATTCTTTGAAGCCTCTCCCTGTTAACGGTAATGAATGTTTGAACAAATTTTGCATCAGATAGCATAGAGATAAGCAAACGCTGGGTTGGAGCTGAAATGGATGAGAACCTCGTCAACTTTTTAGCAGCAGCCAGAACCTCCTCGTTCAAAGAGTAGATAACACCAACCCTAAAACCTGGAAGAGAAAGGTCTTTTGACAAACCGTACACTATATGGACTCTTTTCCGATCAACATCTTCCAGGTCAATGATTTCTGCCATGCTTACAAATTTTTCCTTTCCATGAGTACAGCCAGCCAATATTTCATTAGAGACAATATGGATGTTCTTCTCTCTGGCAAAGTCTAGCAGGCTGTAAAGTGTTTCCTGACTCATAAGATTGCCAACAGGGTTTGATGGGTTTGATATAATTATCCCGCGCACTTTCATCCCACGTTTCTTTGCCTGGTTGAATGCTCGATCAAGAGCAGCTATACTCAAACTGAAGTTGTCAGCACTTCGACAAGGAACATGTACTATTTCCACCCCAGTTCGCCATTTTACATCCCTATCAAAACTGCATATTGTTTTCAAAACCTCAGTTTCCTAATCGGATAGATGGTTACCAGAAAACTGTCAAAATGGTGGACAAAAAGGTTACCCAGGGTAATATGGTGTTGGAACAAGAAATGCATTTCCAGCATCTGCTAAGCAGAAGCTAAGAATCTCAATTGCAGGGGTCGCACCAGATGTCAGCACTATCTGTGAAGGGTCGCAGGAAGTAGCTTGCTCCATGACTTGAGACATGAATCCTGCCACAGCCTGCAAGGTAATACTAAGTCAAGACATAAAAGTTCAAGTAAAGACCGTTTATAGACAAAAAGAAAGCATTTCCAAAAGGGATCACTAGACGAGGAGGACTATCGAAGTTAAACATGAGTTTAGATTTAAAATTTTATAAATAATTTTGCGGGAAAAGGTATATTCCAACATGTTATAACACATGGAAATCTAAAATACACCCGGAAAACCTGTGCACAAGTTAAGAAAGCTTGTCAAATTAATTGTAAATATCTTTCTCTCCTCTTTCATCTTCCTTTTGTTTCTCCAAACAAAGAGGTCACTTTATGGTCACTGGCATATACGTATTCAACCAGATTTTTAATCATTAAATCCTACTACGCAAGTAATCCAAGCGTCTTTGATACATAAATGGTGGGAAAAGAAAAAAACAAGATCTCAGTGCATGTACATTGCTTTAATTAATGGGTCTTGTATCTACCAATAATATATATCACTGAATAAGAATCAAGAGCCGATGAACTTAGATTTATTGTTTTCCTTTTTTCTTATTTATCCCTCATTAAGTGAAAATATAACAATTAGCCAGACGGGAATAACTTCAATGTATTACTTCTTTGAACTCTTTTTCTATCTCGTATATCCTCCTCTAAGACATTAATTTGGCTTGCCTTGTGTCAACCATCTGGCACCTACAATCTTCTCAGCACCTCCAATAGTACTATCCAATGATCCATATATTTGGTTTTTGCCACCTCCATCTCACTTGATTCTTCATAATACAAGCATTATACTCTATTACAGATCTTTCCTTGGCACAGCAAAGATTGTGACCTGGAGTACCAAACAATTAAAGGTAAAGGACTCCACCAAATTTGCGGCGCCACCATTATTAACAGAGACCATAAAACGTTAAGCATGACCATAAACAAGCAGTCCCTGGAGCACAAACTAATCTTACAATCGCTCAATCAATCTGAATCTCCAAACAGTTAAATCCTAACATGACATCTTAAAGTCACCTAAAAGTGAATGGAATTACCTTTCGTCATTAGCATCATACGAACCATTTGAAGTTTGAACGCAATTTCAAATAACAAAAACAAACAAAACAAGAGAACTGACAGTGATAGTGATAGTATTAACTAAATACAAAACAATAGATAAGTTGAAAAATATTGACACAAAGTTTACCACTTTGAACTCCATTAATCCATCAAAAGGCTGGTAAGTTGCAATCCCGCCAATGGTCAGCTCTTTTCCATTTCCCAGTATCGCTTCTTTCACATTCCCTGCTAGCCAATCCTTAACCAAATCCAATGACAACTAAAAACCCAAAAAGAAAAAAAAATCAATAAAAAATCGAACCATAAAGCATATTAACAAAAGAACCCACCTTGTTTTCTGCTAACCCCATCTGAATGACTCCATTCGGATTGTCCACTTCATCATACGGATCCTCCTTGACCCGCCTCAATCCCACATAATACGGAGACTCCGCATCCTTCACAATTCCACTAACCCGACCCGAAACTGAGACGGGTCCTCTCGGACTTCTCGGGGATAGCAAAACCCGAGACAGGTTACGTGTCAACCCAGGATGCTCCGCCAACTGGCCGGACGAAGGCGACCGGGTCGTTTGGTTCTGACCTGGGGAATTCGATTCGTTCTCGTCATCCGGTTCATTACGGTGTCGGTTCAAATAGAATTGGAGAAAGTAAAAGAGCGCGCAAGGGATTATGGAGCCTAAAACTAAGCCTCCTCTTCCTTGAACAACACCTTGTAAAGGAACTATCACTCTCATGGCAGTTCCTCCTCCCCCTCTAGTTTTTTCCTTCTTGGGTTCGGGGCTCCGAGTCCGGGAATATGGGGTTTGTTTCATTGTAGTGAAGTCATGGCCGCATAACTCAAATGAATGTGAAATGGGAATTGAAAATATGGGTTTTTCTGGGTTTTGCTGTTAACGTTTAATGGATGAACAAAAATAATATCTTTATGGTCTCTTTTTTGTGTTTCTTCTCCCTTTACTTTTCTCTGGTTTTTTGGGTTTTGGGATTTTTTTTAATTCTTTTTTCTGAGGGAGGGAATTATGGGATACAGATTCTTTCTCAGCCGTCCGTTGCATGAGGTGGGCGGGGCGAGAGAGATTTTGGGATTTAGCTGTTGAGATCTTTAGGAGGGAAATGCTGTGAGTTTACTGAAATGGCCTTGTTGTTTGTTTGTCCATCTTTCTTGTGGAAGTGGAAAGTAGAAACTTTCGTTTTTCTTCAGTAATTTCCAGATGTTGGGTGACAACTTTGGGTGTCGTTGTTGGTGGGAATTTTAGGCAAATTATTTGAATTCCAAATGTGCTGCCAAAATACAACAGTTTTACTAGTAAGATTTTTATTCATATCCTCTATTTTCGGATGAAATTAAGGTTTGCTTGTTATTGATTTCTTTGACTCAGCTGAGCTGAAGACAATGTCAAATTATTTGGTTGCTCTTTTGACTTTGTGTTAAAACGAGAGATCTAATGAAAATTTGCTACGGCAATTACTACCTCGAGGTTTACGCTTTTGCACATTATTTTGAGTATTCTAAAAACCCTTTTAAACTGGTTTTTTGAATCTGGCGTTGCTTGCGAATAGATTAAGGTTGTTGTGTTTGATCTAACCCAAGGTATGATAGTCATATGATGAAGCGGACAAAAAGATCTTGATGCTATCAAAGGCATCCATGTTAAGTCAAAGAGATTGTATGATCAATCTTCTTTATTTTCTACAATGATGATCAAATGGTTTGGTATCATTCTGATTATGATAGCCGAGAGAGAAGAATTCTGTACATTTTACTCCATAATCTGTTTATCCTGTGGAGGAAGAAAGAATGAACAGTTTCGGTTTTATAGTAATTTCAGTTACGATTGGAATCTCTAAAAAACAAGAGTACAAGAGATAGAATCTGCCCACAATTTGTCCTCAAAGCTCCCCTTTGCACTTGAAGACAATACCCCAATTTTGTCCCTTCTTTTATACACCACAACCACAAGCTACAAGAAGCAATTTCACCAAGGCAAGTCAGTCCGAAGAAACTATACACAACACAAACTTTGACGCGTTATATATTAGGGACTTTCATTTCCTTTGTTTTTCTCTCATAGCAACCTTTATTCACTTCAACAAGGTTCAAGTTTCCCGTAAAAATTTGTGTATTCAGTAATCAATTTTCCAATCCCTTTTGATACTAGATTTAGGCTGCAAGATTCAAGAAACTTAAAAGGATATTCTCAATCCATGCAGGATTTTGAGGCTTGCGCGTAGTTAGTTGAACAGTAAAGAAAAATATTAACGTTTGTTAATGGGGGAAACAAATCCACAGCACAAAAGAACAAAATAAGATATAAAAAAAAAAAAAGTGAAAAGTAGGAAAGCATTAGTATAGTACTAAGGATCCATGAAAACGTTGCGGGTGTTTTCTGCTGTGTTACCTACTAATGAAGCAATCTCTATCCAATATTGGCCACTCAATACCCCCAGCAGGTTGTGAAGGAAAAGTAAACAAGTTGGATCCTTAAATACAAACTTCTAATTTGAGATTGGTAGCCGATCAAATTAATGCACCAGAGAAAACTAAGTAATCAGCCAAACTAGAAAGTTTTAATTGCCATTTATTTGTTATCATTTGCTGAAATTAGTGAGACTTACAGATTAAATTAACAATTACAGTGAAGGCATTGAAAATACTGAATAGAACTTATTCTGAGGTAAATTAAAGTCATTATTGAATCTGGCAAACTGTTCAACATTTGAAGTTGAACATGAGCTGTTGGATAGGGATGTGTGAGGCTTGGATGGAGAGTTGATTGCGTGATTAGAACAAAGATCGCAAGAGCCATCACGGTTGAGGTTGGAAGGTCTGAATCTTGACAACTTGGGAGCTGTGTTTTTCAGAGAGTGATGGACCTGGAATTGGCTTTACATGTCCATCAGTGTCCAGCCAGCACAAAGTTATGGTTTCAGTCTGCTCTGTTTTTTGTCAGAATGTGAGGCCGCAGTTGAATCTCAATTTTACCCAAGGAAGGAGAATGTATCAGTGACTCGATTTATTCGAGGTGGCCATTTGTTCAACCCCAACAAAGGAAATTCATGTACATGTGAATGCCTAATATACTTTTATACAGTGATATTGTAAATCAAAATAAAATATGTTGATTGGCCAAGAAAAGAAGACATGAATGTCATAATGTAATACTAACATGCTATAATACTAACCCGTTTGCCTGCATTTATGTTGTTCTGTTAAATTTTCTTTACTCATGAGGATGAGTGCAGTTTGGTAAAAAAAAAATTTTTTTGTGTCCTTTAAATTAAAAAAAGCTTAAGTTTGAAATCCCTTGACTGTATTATAAAAATAAAAAATAAAATTTCTTTTAAATTTTTATTAGATATATCTCATCCTTTGATTTCTCGCTTTAATTCTTTTTGTAATAATTTTTGGTTACCCATTTGTCTTAATGTTTACTCTTTGACATTTATCATTATATATTTATGTAGTATTCTCTTCGTCCCAAAATATTTGTCATCTATTAATTTTCATAAAATTTAAGAAAAAAAATTTTGATTTAAATATATTTAATATTGAAATTAAATTTTTTATGATTTTTAATGTAAAAAAATGAAAAAAATCATAAAAAAAAACAATTTTAAAATATAAAAAATTAAAATTTTAAATGTTATAAAAATATAATTTTAAAATATCCTAAAAAAAATGAACAAAATAAAATATGACAGAAAGAATATATTAAATATACTATCCCAGTAAATTTAATAATAGATATTTGTCTCTATTATCAATTGGATTAAGATTAACAAATCGTTATTGTAAACAATCACATCGACAAACTTAAAAATGAAATTTTGATTCTATTATGGATTATTTTGACATTAACAATTTGTTATAATAAAATAATTTAATTTATATGAATTATAATGTATAAATTAAATCTCAAATCTTAATAAAACGCGAAAGCTAACCTTACCAAATCGATTGATGTAAGTGGTTGGGTCATTTTGGCTCAAGGTTGCACTTGTTGAAGCTCCTTATAGACGGTTATGTTCAAAACAAACTGCAACGAGTTTTATCTTTGATAATGACTTAAATCTTAATCCTGAATAATCCTGATTAAGAACGATTGTAGTATAGATTCAAAATATCGAAACAATAAAAAAAAAAGAAAAAGAAAAGAAAAACGAATCTTTGAATTGAGAGGTGAGAGATTGAATTACTCAGTTGTGTTTATTTTCTAAGTTGGGCAAAGGTCAAATGATAATGCAGGAAACCATAACAATACCTGGTTCTTACATATGGTTCGAAGGGAATCCCAGGTAAAACCCTGTCAGTGCAGTCAACGTTAAATTACGGTACTAGTTGACATCACTGAACCATATTTATTAAGAAAAAAATTACATAAAAAGCTTCTGAAATATTCAACTACTAAGCAATTATCACATTCAAAAGGTCTAAAAAATAAAAAAATAAAAATCACGTGGGTGAATATCAATGTCCTTTTCATCAAACAGTATTTATTTGTTTTTTACTCTTTTAAGGGATATAGCATTAGCTACAGAGGAAGTATTGATTTTATATTTCACCACAAGGGGACAAAAAAAATTTCACAATTCACCGCATTAATAAAGTAAAAACCTATATGCTATTTTTTGCATGACATTGACAATTCCCAATCCATTCCCTTACTCCTTTCCTTTCTCTTCCATTATTTTGAAATTTTGATCTAATTTGAATTTACACAATTACAATATATAGAATATCAAAAAGGGGGTAATAATTCGATTAAAATAAAATTTAATTCAATTTTTTAAATATTACATAATATTATGAAATTTTAAAATTTAATCTAAATTCGAATCTTCAATTGAATCAAATTCTATTATTTTAATTTATTAATTTTTAATTTTAAAAATTTTATATATTATTTTAATATAAATTTTAATATATTTAAATAAAATTTTATATGATATTATTATTTTTTATTTTATACAAATTTAAAATATATATAAAAATTAAGAAAAATATATAATTCAATTTTTTTTTTCGATTTTTCATATCTCAATCTGAAATTTAATCCAAACTTAATATATATATTTAATATCTGAAATTGATTTGAATCAAATAAAAAAAATTAATTCAAATCAAACCAAATATTATAATTTCGAATCGATTTTTCAAATTTTTAATTTTTTCTCATCCCTATATGTTTCTCATTATAACTCTTTTTTTTTTGTAAATTTAAATTTTATTATCAATAAATTCTATTGAAAATCCTCAAAATATATATTTTTAATATCATGAATAATACTTAAATTATATTAAAATATTTAATACAATATTTAAATTTTAAAAATTTATAATTTATTATTTAAACTATAAATTGACTAGCTAATAATATATTTAAAAAATTATTTTTATTATTTGTTATTATTTAAAATTAATAATATTAACAATAAATATCACATTAATTAATAAATTTATAATTCAAATATTATATTAAAAAATTTAAATTTAAATATTTTATTATAATTTAAACATTAATTTAAAAAAAAACTCTCCCCTTCGCCATCGGTTAACTAAAAACTATAACTTTATTAATCGTAGCTAACATTCATTTTTCATTTAAAGATTTAAAAAACATTATATATATATATATATATTCTCAACCACCATTCAAACTCGAAATAGTTTCAATTTTTTAAGTGTAACAGATTTTTCGATGTAATGTCAAGTCTTAAACAGATGAAACATCAGCTGTATTCAACTCTAGTTATTTACAATCAAAATCAAAAAAATTTTCGATTGAAATCGAAGCTAATCTGAAACTTTATTCTTACGACCAAAAAATATATATATATAACTGGCTTGGGGTTCGTACATAAATCCTTAAATACCCTTTTACCCTTCTCATCTTTGGCCCAGTCCAGATTTGAATTCGGATCCGAGGGCTCCCACGACTCCTCCCACCCTTCCCTATACCTGAAAAGAATAAAACCGTTAGGACCAATATCGCAATTACCATCAAATCCCAGTGGCAAATACAACACGCGCCGAAATTTCAGAGTCCCGTCGACATAATCTCGCCACCCGAAACCCCTGTGCCCGAACACCGATAGCACTGCTCCTCACTTCAAGGACAAATCAATTTCTCAAACCTATTGACTCTTTTACCCTCACCAGTGACTCCTCCACTGTAAATTGCAACCTCTTAATTTCCATAACAGACCAAGGATACTGTCGTCAATAAAATTTTATAAACGGCCTTTTTTTTTTGTTTTACTATTATTTTCAGAAGCCCATAAATTCAAATTTTGATCGTTACAAAGCCTCGGCGCTATAGAACAAAAAAAAGCCCAGTTCCGGAGTTCGGCTGCAGTAACTTGCACCTTACGCTTTGGATGTTGTCTTTGTTCTTCGTTTTTCTTTTTTCCCGTTTATTGGAATAAAATTTATTTTGTTTCGAATGCTACAGTGAAGCTGGCTCAAGCGTAGTCATCGCCGTTGTCGACTCCACCTCGCCTTTTCAAAGATTTCTAGGGTTTCTAAGCGAAAATCGTTTTCAAATTATCGCTGCAAATGGCGGCGGAGTTTAGTTCTGGTTGGTTCAGGTAAAGTTGCAACGGCATTGTAGAGAGAGACAGAGGGAGTGAGTTTTGGACGGAGAAAGAGAGAGAGATAGAGATGGAAGAGGAGATGGAGATAGAGCCAGTGTTCGAGGTGAGAGAGATTGATCTTGATTACGAGTTTGATGCGGCTAGGTTCTTCGATTTCACGCGCGAGGAGTCCCCGGCGGAGGCCAGAGAAGCTGAGCTTTGGTTCGAGTCGGCGCCGGGTTATCCTCCCTCTCGTTAGTTTCTTAAACTTAATATTGTTTGCTTGAAGCAATAATGTTTTACCATTATTTTAATATATATTTTTTGGTTTATTATCTATTCTTCTTATTTGATTGAAGAAGTATGAGCCGTAAAGATGATTTTACCTTTTTTTTTTTTTTTTAATTGTTATCAACGATTGCCTTTTCTTTTCTTTCTTTTATTTCTAAATTTTTGAGATATTATTGTAAAAAAAAGGTCCTTTTATTTTCTATCATTTTTTTTTCCATTAATCTTTCTTGGTAAAATTATTTCTATCTTTTTTTTTTTTTTTTTTTTTTGGGGTTGTAGCTTTTGTGACAAAGTTAGTTTTAAGAGAGGGAAGTCTCCTGGAAAATGTGACTACGTCTCCAAAATGCAAAGAAGCGGAAGATACTAATACATTACACGAAAATGATTCCGAAAACGTGACGGCCTTGGAATTTTCAGCTATGGATGCCACTAACAGAGGTACAATTTCCCATGTTTAGCATCTTATTTGTGGTGCTTTTGTTTCATTGAACTTCCTTTCTATTTAAATTTTAAGACCGAATGCTGTAATTTAGCTGATATGAAAGAGCCGTGGAGCTTGCTTCAGGAATTAAGAGGGGGCAAGCTTGTGCTTCTGCTGGGAATCATATGAAGCTTGAGCTTGAGTGTAGTCTGTTTTAGAGTTGTTGGTTAAACCTTTGGTTAAAAGGGAGGATGGATGGATAGATCACTCAGAAGAATGGATTAAAAAAAGAAGATGATTTTCTTTGGAAAGTTTGAAAAACTGTGCTTAACTGATTTTATTGTTTCTTTTTTTGTGTTTAGGCTATGAAGGAACTAACAGAGCGATCTTCACCAAAATACAGAAAGTTTTACAAAAGGCTTTAAATCAACCATTTCAACTAACTACAGGTGATTGGCACACTTATGCAAAGTAGTTTTAAGGTTTTATTTTTTTCTTACTCGTCTCTGCCTCCAGTGAGATTGCTTTCTTATTGTTATCATTTTTGGCTTCTCTCAAGTGTGTTTGGTTAACTGCAAATATGGTCCAAGACTGAAGTGTGTGTACTTTCCAGATGTGTGCCCATCTATATCTGTTATAGCTTATACGTGTCTGTAATGATTCTTTTATCATTATTATGAACATCACTTCCCATCTGTTTTGCTCATATTTTTTTTCCTTTTCCTCCCTCAGGCTTCACAACTTACAATCATATACCCGGTGATAAATTAAAAGTTAAATCTAAGGACATGAAAACGTCTATGCCAAGGGGCTCAACTCTTATGAAACCTACTGCAAGTCAGTTAGCCAAACAAAATCAGCCCCCTCAAGTTGCTACATCCAGGTGATTTACGAAAATTCTCTATTGACTTTCTTATCTGTTCTAGTCTCACAATTTAGTGTTTTTCAAAGAGACAAAGAGAATCTTACCTCTCACAAATGGCTACTTTCAGTTTCAATGGTCTTAAGTTTCTTATTCCTTGTAATGTAAATGCATCCTAGTTTCAATAAAAGGAACAATTTATCTGTGAAAGTTCCTGTACTAAAATCTTACAGTTCTAATCTTTCTATTTTTTTTTCTATTGTAGATTTCAGAAGCTACAGGTGCTAAACAGTGACAGAAGCCTAGGTAATTCTTCTGTGGTTGAAAGTCAAGCTGCTAAGAGGCAGAAGCTAGAGGGAGGTCTCTCACGAAAGGTACATGAGTTTGTAAAATTTCCCATACTCCCACTATGCTTGCTCATAGTTTGGAAAGTTTCTCATGGCAGCTATTTGTATTGAACAAGTTGGATATTTTAAGTGCGATAGAAAAGTGGTTTTTATATTGTTGAAAGAGCCTTTGTTTTTAATGTTCACAAATTGGCGACTAATAACTACATGAGTGCATGTTATCAAAAGGTGCTCTAATGGGTGTGTTTTTTCATATATGAACATGCAAATATGAGAGTAGAGGCAAACTAGATGTTGCATTGACCGGTTCTCCTAGTTGGCCTTCCATACTTCCACTATGCTTGCTCATAGTTTGGAAAGTTTCTCATGGCAGCTCTTTGTATTGAACATGTTGGATTTTTTAAGTGCAACAGAAAAGTGGTTTTTATATTGTTGAAAGAGCCTTTGTTTTTAATGTTCACAAATTGGCAACTAATAACTACATGAGTGCATGTTATCACTAGGTGCTCTAATGGGTGTGTTTTTCACATATGAACATGCAAAAGTGAGAGTAGAGGCAAACTAGATGTTGCATAGACCAGTTCTCCTAGTTGGCCTTTGTCTTCACTTTTCCATCTCCACATTAGACTTGAGACTTAGGTGTTCTCGATTTGTCATTAATTTGTATTATTAGTGGCTGAGTGATATAATTTATCAAATAAGCTTCTGGTTTGGGCTCAACTTTTGTTCTGCATGGCAGTTTGATGAGGTGAAGCAGCAAACTGCTTTGTTACACAAGGCACCTAAAAAGGTATACCCTCAAATTATGTCTAGATTTTTAAGATACATTTGGATCTGAAACTTTCGGAGCTTTTCTTTGTGCTTACGCAGGATGGAGCTACAGATAGAAACATCCTCAATACCAAGCTGAAGCTTACCATTCCAATGGAACCTGAGCTTCAAACAGCCCGTAGGGCTCAAAGAATGCAGTTAGTTTCTGGTCACTATTTCTTTATATGTTGAGGTATAAAGGTATTGTCAATAAGCTGCTGGTGCAATGATGTCTTCATTTCAGGCCTAAGAATGGTACTGAACAAGACCATGTTACATCTGTCATGCATAGATTCAAAGCACGCCCATTGAATAGAAAAGTTGGTACTTATGATGCGACAAAACAGACTTTCACTGAAGTTGGTTTTTTTGTACTTTTCTCCTCTCAAATATATATTTATAATTTGCAGATTCTCGAGGCTCCTTCATTGCCTCTTCGGAAGAAGAGTATTCCGAAGTTGCCAGAGTTTCAAGTAAGTAAAGGACTTTAGTTTCTTGCTTGTTCCTGGATTAATGCATTTTGTGGAAGCATCATGACAAGCAATAATGCAAAGTGAGGTTCCTTGCATTCCATATGTGGCTCTAAGTGCTGTCTCATTGCTTCTCAGGAATTTCACCTGAAGACATCAGAAAGGGCTGCGCAACTCTCATCAGCTCTATCATCTTCATTCCAAACAAATGATGCTGATAAGGTTACCCATTGATGTCATTATGTCTCATCTTACTTTGAGCTTTTTTGTCAATCCTCTTTGTTACTTCTGGAAAACTTATGTTGTTGCAGGGGTCTGAGAAACCTAGTACAATTTCTGCTAATGGCAATGGAACTAGAGAAGCCAAAAGGTAAATGTTTTATATTTTAAAATCTAGAGAATCTAGTAACCGTTTCAAATGTTAACTATCTAGAGAATGTAGTTTTGTGCAGAATATATACCATCTAGGTATTCAAGCATGCCTTTATCGTTGTGATGATTCTCCTGTATATGGGTACCTTGGTATTTATTAGTATTAAATCTGAGAAAGAATGACTTAGGAATTTTTTCCTGCATTGTTTAGACCAAGTGCCATGGATACCACTAGGCAGGATGCCTCTGACACAAAGTACAACTTCAAAGCTAGTCCTTTGAATAAGAAGGTAAACAAATAACAAATTACATCAATGTATTGTTTGATTCCTTGGGCAAGGTATCAATGATTCCTATCTAACAAGTATCTAATTCCCTGGATGCAGATATTTTCCGCTAAAGGAGATATTGGTGTTTTCCGAAACTTCAAGAGGGAAACCACAGTGCCAATGGTAGAGGATCGAAGATCTTTGTCTCTTTATTACAAATGGATTGTTGGCTGAATTGTTTGATATGATATCATGCTTTGTCTGCTAAACAGGAATTTAATTTCCATACAGAGAAGAGGGTTCTGCAAAATCCACCCATAGAACTTTTTAGTAAGGTAAATCTTAATAACTATATTTCGCACCAGGCTGCCCTTTTTAGTGGGTCCGATCCTTCCTTGGACCCGCGCATAGTGGGAACTTTACACACTGGGCTGCCCTTTTTCTTAAACCTTAATAAATATGTTTCAGTTATGCTATCATTCATCTCCCTCTTTATATTTCCAATTAACATTGTATGCCATCTACTAATGCAATTGAAGTGTTTGATATTTTTTTTGGGTCTTAGTGTTTGTATGGCATATTTTTGTTGATATACTCTCTTTTTCTATATGTCTATGTTGTCTGCCAGCTGTCTCTTATGTCTGTACTACAGCCAAGCAATGGATCTCAAATGAAGTTGCCTCCTCCTACCTTTATATCTACAAAGGTTCTCCAGAGTATTTTAACTCTATTTATTCTGATGAGCACTTTTGAATTTTGATTTTTCTTAGTGTTATTGATGTAATTGTTCTTTGGTATAAGGGCTCAAAAGAAAATAGATTTATTCCGTTCCAACCAGAACATGAGGTTAGTTTCATAATTTGAACACACAAGTTTGATTAGCATTTTTCAGGTCTCCTAATTATGTCTCCCCCCCCCCCCCTTTCCTCTTTTGCTGGGTATTATATTACCAATTTGCAACTCTAATTATAAGGCTTCAATTCTTCCTATGAAGTAATGCATATAAATGCCATTATCTTGTAGATGAGGCATTTCGCAAAGGAGAAACCACATCTGTTTGGCTGACAGAACATTCAGTGTGCGAGTGATGGTTGGCATTACTGAAGTTGGTAATCAATTGAGCATGAGGTATGTTGGGTTCGTTAACACAATATCTTTTTCATCTTTACCTTTTAATTGTAAATTTTCAAGTATGACTTTACATGGAGAGATTATGGAGGAGCTCTGGCATCCGCTGAAAGTAACTGCTATTAGTTCGGAATTTTGCCGGATCAATGCTTGAAAATTGAACAAAATTCATCAACATAGTTTTTTGCTGTATATGGAATCTGTGGATATCCACTTTACCGGATATCAATCTTTACCTCTGGCCAAAAAAAGAAAATAATATTTACCTCCATAGAAACTGACATGTTAAGATGAATTTCGTGGTGCATACTTCTGGGTCACAAGTGCATAATACAATACAAATGTTACACATATTTTACAGCCGAACAAGGCCCCGTACCCTTTGACTTCAATTTTGCAGCATTACTACAAATTTGATAACAATTAGTTCGGAAATGTAAATTTGGTGGATAGGGTAAAAAAGCTATAAATATATTTATATAATGCAATAGTATTATCTGTAGAACTAATCTAAAATATATCATCCATGGATTCTTTGCATGCTTATACCCATGCATCGATTGTTTTCTTGGATCCAATGTCCAATAAAAAGATGATTTTCAGCTACAATAGTCAAAACCAAGCATCTGGACTGTAGTTTCACTCTCATTCTTGAACTCTTCTTAAGTATTATGCTAGGGCAGCTTCTATCTTCTGCTTGTGTGCAGATTGCCGCTGGTTTGCTGCTTCATTCTCTCCGTTGTATTCTTTGTCCGCAGGGTTGTTCTTCAATAGAACCTGTTTCGTCCAGCGCTTTATATCATAAGCCTTTTTGAAGGGCTTCTTCTCTTTGATAAGTCTTCTCTTGGTTATAGCAATGGCGAGATCATTAGGAAACAATGTCTGCCAAACAAAGGCATGAAGAAGGGTAGAGACGAATAATACAGACACCATTGTTGATGACATGAATGAAAGACAGAGAGCAAGGCCCTTGCTTAAAACAGAAGGAACCTGCTCTGCATACTTGATTGTCGCTACTGACACAGTTGTCATTGGGAAGGTGTATGACCACCATGCTACAGAGAACCTTCAAAAGTATTGAATAATAGTTAAATTAAGGATTATATCCTCTGATTGAAAGAAACGTTGGATTCTGATGTTGATCAAGAATTTGCTTACCTGAATCCTGTAAAGAAGTTGATCCTCACAACTAGTGAAATATAGAGGAACAATGCAATGAAAAAACATGTCCTCGAGCAACCATCAAACTCACCATAAATGCTTCCCCAAGCAATACTTGCTGCAGACGGAGCTGCAATAAACATGGAGTACACAGGATGTAACTCTTTAGGCAATGCTTCGCTTGTTGGCAGTCTTTGATACAACGTCACAAACACCACTAGATAATGGGCAAAGCCAACAGACCACAAGAACTTGGCGGCTTCTATCCATCCCACCTTTGATGCTAAGATTGCTCCAACAAAATTTCCGACTACAGAGAGATGGGAAGATGGATTTGCTACCTTGCAAAGACGCCTCTTTCCTCCTGAAAGCCATTGACCATAAATTTTGAGTTCGAGAAGGAAGTAAGGTCCCATGAAAGCACACCAAATTGCGGGGTGCAGTTTTGCAGGTGCTAGCATTGGTGGTAAACCAATGGCAAGGAACATGCATACAACCCACGGAGCAAAGAAGAAATTGACTCTGACAGGATGGAAGTATTCTCTTTTGACAGCTTCAAAGTAGTAAATACATTTGAGCAAGTAGGTGATGGAGACTGAGACTAGCACTGCCAGAGCTAATGACCAGAGGAAAAGATTGATGAATGGTGTAATGTGGAGAAACTTGGTAGCGGAGCTAGTTGACAGGGCACGCCATAGAACAGCTTGGCTGCTAAGTCCGAGACAAATACCAAAGCAACCAATTGGGAAACGGAGGAGGAAAGGCCATAGCTCATCTTTAGGAAGAAGAATGTCCTCGTAGTCCTGCAGAAAATATGAGCACAAAACGAAAGTGAAGTAACTCTAGAATCCAAAAATCTAGTTTAGCATAGCAAATTCTTGGTATTATCATACATACATATCAAACTTTTTAGTATGTTACCTTCACTTGGTCTAATTCTGGTCCTCTAAGAGCAGCAAAGTATCTTCCAGCAGGAACACTTTTATTAACAGATTCATCAAGATCAGTAGCACCTTCAATTCTTTGCGACTCCATCTCTCTCTCTTTTTTCGAAGGCAACAGAGAATTCTGTTTACTAAGAGTCGACTTGGTCCTGAAGATGTTGAAGTCTCCTTTCCTTGCTTCTCCACCAATCCTATTAGCCGAATCAAAACCTCCAAAACTACGACCACTTCTCCGAAGAACCCTTCTGTCATCTTTGGCCTTGGATTCTCTATCCAGCACAGAAAACCCTGTCTCTAGTGACACCTGCCTACTAAAACTCCTCTGTGGCCTCTTGAGTTCTCGAAGTTTAATGGGCTTCTGTAAACCCTTTTTGGTCACTTTTTCTTCCATTTTGATAATCTCTTCTTCTTCTTCTTCTTCTTTGTCTTCTTGTAAAACTTCATGGATATCAACAAAATAAGTATGAAAAGAATTACTCGGAGAAGTTGCTCCCTTTTCCATTTTGTTTCTTCCAAGGTTTAACAAAAGAAAAAAAGCAACTCAGAGTTATGTCATTCTTATGGAGTCGTGGAAGATAGTTTTTATATTTTTTTTCTTTTTTAAGGCATCACGAGAAGTTGAAGAAAGATGCAGCTTCTTTAAGGTGGTTGGATGTTTGGTTGATAAAATTGGAACCAATGCTTTATCATGGAAAAAGTTGGGTTCAATGGGGAGATTTCTCGTGAAAAAAAATATATGAAGAAAAGTTTTTGTGGCTTGTAAAATTATGGATCCAAACAACTTGGATGAAAAATGAAAAGATTGTTCCTTACAGTGGGAAAAAAAGAGAGTTTTCAGCTCCTCACGGGGGATGAAGAAGAAGACAGAGAGGTGGATTTGATTTGTTCGATTATGAGAAACAATGAATGTCAACCTCTATATATGTTGCCGTAACGCTCAAGTGTTGCCATTTGCTTGCCGAGAAAATTTAATGCTTTGATCCGAGGAACTTTTTGACACTGTTTATGGGCATTGGGCAGAGATCACAATGAAAAAGAACCTGAGTTGGTCTAAGACTTTAGGCCCAATTATTGCACGGATAATGGTGTTGTCAATTGTTAATGATCCATACCCTACAAAAACAGTTGAAAGAAGGGGATCGGGTTAGATCAAATATGGCCAAAGAAACGGGAGAGATGCAGCCCAACCCCATATACTTTACTGCAAGTTTTTAAGTTCAAAGCCAAAACCATTCCAAATAAAAAAGGTTAGAACTTAGAAGTGTGGCGCACAAAAGACTTTCACAATGTCCAAAAATGGAGGACTAGAGGTATAAGAATATGAATAATTTAGTATGAATACGAACGATATAATTTTGTTGTTCGCATTATCTATTCTGCCTCTTTTAATTCTATTGATTGTTTTTTTGGGGGTGGGGAGGCAAACATGGCGAATTCCCTGTTTAATATTCACACACATGGCAGGCCATTGGTGCATTACGTCAAATGAAAACCATAAAATTACACTTGACACTTTTGAAATAGTCGAGCAAAAATCCTTTATGAACATTTGTAAGCTCTTCCAGGATGTTTCCATGTTCATTTGGCTGTGCCGACTTCAGCCGAATCCATATGCTGAAATTAACCATATGTGCATTGGCAACCTTATAAATAAGTTAAACTTTAAACTCTACCGTAACCATTTCCACAAAGACCTTCAGAAGAACACAACCACAGTTGCTTACCCAATGGCCTCTTCCAAGATCTTCTTCATCATTGCTGTTGTCACTTACTTTGCAATTCCTTCAAGTTTGGCCACTGAGTTTAGGGTTGGTGACGAGAAAGGATGGAGTCTTGACTTTGATTACCAAGGTTGGGCAGCAGGAAAGGAATTTCATGTTGGAGATAAGCTTGGTAAAGCAACAATCTTTCTTTAGTCTACGAAATATATACATGTATAAACTTATTTGCAATGATTTAACCTGATGAAAGTATGTAGGGCCGACATTATAATTTTATTTTTCAATTTATGTGACTAACAATTAAAAGTAACAATTTCCTTGGTGCAGTTTTCGTGTATACACCGGGTGCCCACAATGTGCTTAGAGTTAATGGAACTGAGTTCCAACAATGTGCAGCTGCAGATAACGTTGTTCCCCTAACCACCGGAAATGATGTGATTACACTTGCAACCCCAGGAAGAAAATGGTACATTTGCGGTGTAGCCAGGCACTGCGCAGCCCGGAACATGAAGCTTAGCATAACTGTGCTTTCTCAAGTAGGATCTCCTTCTTCTGCTCCTGCTTCTGCTCCCAACTCACCTACATCACCTTCTGCTGCAAGAGGAAATGCTGGATCTAGCTTTTATGCATGGATTGTGGTCATGGTTAGCTTTGCTGGGTTGGTCCTTGTTTAATATTGCAATAATGTTACTAGATCCATTCCTAGGCTAAACTGTTTTCGAGTGTTTAATTCTTGAATTTGCTATTATTTTTATTTGATTCAGTTTGTAGAATTGGTTTGTGACAATGGCTTGTTATAATTACATTAATTAAGTCACTATCTTCTCTTGGCTTATGACATCAATTGTATACTAGATCTTTAGTTCTTCTTCCAAATCCCAACTCTTAATTTCCATATAAATAATGGATTACACTTCAGCCAGAAGTTGCTCATGAATTCCTCGTTTCTCATAGCAGTAATCAATGGTGGAGATCAACTTAACAGTTGATGGAATTCTGTTTTCTTGGGCTTCTTTATTCTTTTATGATTTTTTTTGGGCTTCTCATGCAGATACTGTAAACTCTGCATAAAAGCCAAATCCCAACCCACAAAAACTATATAAGGATGAAATTGTTAATATGACAAGGTTATTTAAGTAATAGTAACTAATGATAAATTAATAATAATGATAATTTATGATGATGAATTTAAAATTTTGAAGATTGATTCACAATTTGTATTAAATATGTTATGATTTATAATTATGGAATGATATGTTTTGATATGATATCAATCCTTTGAATGCTTACTTAAATGTTTTGAAAGTATAATTTAAATGATATTTCTAAATGAGCTATATATACGTATAAAAGTAATACTTGATCTGGTAAGGTATGTGAGCCTATATTTGTTAAGCTGTAATTTGTTCATTATTTTTTTATTTGCTCATTACAAATGATTAAAATGATAAATTTGTTTAGTCTTATATGAAGTTAAAAGATCAAATTAAAAAAATTACTTGAGCATTGAAAACATTGTTAGCCACTAAGATCTTACGAAATGATTTTATATTTTTATTAGTTTACATTTAGATATATATAAATTTATTATTAGTTGAATTAAAGTTATGAAATTTACTTAAACATATTATTTTATTAAATAATTTTATAATGATTAATAAAGAAAATTTCGTATTATTTTAAAATTTTATTTCAAGATATTATTGCCGTATTATATCTTGGCGTTTTGATTTCAAAGCATGACAATGTGTTTTCTTATAACTATTTCAAGAAAGTTTAAGGCGACGTAATTTTAACAAGCACATGAGATCATGTGAAGCATGGTGAGAAAAATTGGATAATAGTAACTGTGACACTTTAATTTCATATTAAGATATTTAAAAAATCTATTATAATATATAAATTGATATTTAAATTTAAATTTGTGAGGCGTGTTTTGTAGTATAAAATTATGAGATTTTTAGATCAAAATAGACAATATCTCGTAGGTTGATATAATTTTTATAAATAGTATTAAAATGATCACCAGTCAGGAGTTAAGTAATATATCGTAAGAGTCACCTCTAAAATCTCAAAAAGGGCTAAATGCTACACTTGTATGCTTTATGCTGTGCTTGACAAAAATATTAAATTTTATCGATAAAAATTTGTGACACTCCAATCTCACATTCACATCGGGATGCTATAAGAATTTATTATAATATATAAAGTTGACACTTAAATATTTCAATCTCATATAAAAATATTTAGAGTATCTATTATAATATATAAGTTGACATTTAAACTCAAATTTACAAAACGTATTTTTATGAGATAAAATCATAAAATTTTTAAATTAAAACAGATAATATCTCACATATATTAATTTTTACTATAATCATATAAGCTAAAAAGATTATTGTTCGACAAAAAGACCCTAATGTTGAAAATGAACCATGAAGCAATAATTAGTGCCGTTAAAAAGTGAGAAGATAGATGGGATCCAACATTGTAGATGTTGTTTCTAACATCTCCAGTTGGAGTTACGGGAATGTCCAAAATCTAGTTATTGGCAGTGGTGGTTGAGTCCAATCTTGGGTTGCTCATCATTCTTGTTGTCCATGCAAAAAGAAATGAGAGAAATGCAGCCCAACTCCATATACCTTACTGCAAAGCAGGAATTAAGTATTTTTAGTCTAAAGTCAAAACCTTTCCAAATAATAAAGGTTAAACTTTTATGGCATTCATAATTGTGATTCTTTAATTTCGTACCGAGAGATTTTAAGAATTTTATAATATATAAATAGAGATTTAAAGTTAAATTTATAAGATATTTTTTATAAAATAAAATCATAAAATTTTTAAATCAAAATAGATAATATCTTATAAATTAGATTTTAGTTTTCACAAATAATATTATAGTAATTATCAATCAGATAAGAGTTAAGTATTATATTGTGAAAGCTACTTCTAAAATTCTGAAACAGTAATTTATATGGTGAGAATCAACTCCAGAATCCAAACATCTAACGTGAATCTGGTTTTATGATTTTATGATTTTATGATTTTGTTTGTGGTTCATGTTAGATTTGATACGGATGTCAAAGTTTTTGGAGAGTTTGTAATATTTCAATTTCATATTAAGAGATTTTGATGATTTCTTATAATATATAAATAAAGGATTAAATTCAAATTTGTAAGGTATTTTTTATGAGACAAAGCTATGAGATTTTGAATTAAAAAGAACAATATCTCGTTAGGTGTGGATCTCTGCATAATATTTCCATAATGTCCAAAAAAGGAGGACTAGAGGTATAAGAAAATGAATAATTTAGAATGAATACAAACGATATAATTTTGTTGTTTCCATTATCAATTCTGCCTCTTTTAATTCTATTGATTGTGCTTATGGGGGTGGGGAGAAAAACATGGCAAACTCTCTGTTTAATATTCACACACATGGCAGGCCATTGGTGCATTACGTTAAATGAAAACCATAAAAATTACACTCACCACTTTTGAAATAGTCTAGCAAGAATCCTTCATGAACATTTGTACGCTCTTCCAGGATGTTTCCATGTTCGTTTGGCTGTGCCGGCTTCAGCCGAACACATATGCTGAAATTAACCATATGTGCATTAGAAACCTTATAAATAAGTTGCACTTTTAAACTCTTTACTGCAAGCATTTCCACAAAGACCTTCAGAAGAACACAACGACAGTTGCTTACCCAATGTTCTCTTCCAAGATCTTCTTCATCATTGCTATTGTCACTTTCTTTGCAATTCCTTCAAGTTTGGCCACTGAGTTTGTGGTTGGTGATGAGAAAGGATGGAGTTTTGACTTTGATTACCAAGGCTGGGCAGCAGGAAAGGAATTTCATATTGGAGATAAGCTTGGTAACGCAACAATCTCTCTTTAGTCTATGAAATATATACATGGATAAACTTATTTGCAATGATTTAGCCTGATGAAACTATATAGGACCAACATTATAATTTTATTTCTCAATTTATGTGACTAACAATTAAAAGTAACAATTTCCTTGGTGCAGTTTTCGTGTATACACAGGGAGCCCACAATGTGCTTAGAGTTAATGGAACTGAGTTCCAACAATGTGCAGCAGCAGATAACGTTGTTCCCCTAACCACTGGAAATGATGTGATTACACTTGCCACCCCAGGAAGAAAATGGTACATTTGCGGTGTAGCCAGGCACTGCGCAGCCCGGAACATGAAGCTTAGCATAAATGTGCTCTCTCAAGAGGGATCTCCTTCTTCTGCTCCTACTCCCAACTCACCAACATCGCCATCTGCTGCAAAAGGAAATGCTGCTTCTAGCTTTAATGCATGGATTGTGGTCATGGTTAGCTTTGTTGGGGTGGTCCTTGTTTAATATTGCAATGATGTTCTAGATCCATTCCTAGGCTAAACTGTTTTCGAGTGTTCAATTCTTGAATTTGCTATTATTTTTATTTGTTTCGGTTTATAGAATTGGTTTGTGACAATGGTTTGTTATAAATACATTAATTAAGTTGCTATCTTTGAGGCTTATGAAATCAATTCTGGATTAGATTTTTAGTATAACAATAATAACAAATTAAATTTTATATCTCATGACTTTAAGATCATTATATAAAAAAATTAAAAAAAAATCATATTAGATTATAGTTTTTATTTTTCTTGTTCCACGCTTCCAAATCCCAACTCTTAATTTACATGTAAATAATGGATAACACTTCAGCCAGAAGTCACTCATGTATTCCTCATTTCTGATAACACGAATCAATGGTGGAGTTCATCTTATCAGCTGATGGAATTCCGTTGTTTTCTTGGGCTTCTTATTCTTTTATGATTTTTTTTTTGGGCTTCTCAGCAGATATTGTAAACTCTTAATTCAATAAAAGCCCCCTCCCTACCCACAAAATATATACTGATGAGCAGATCGAGAATTAGTGGTGATAAAAATCAAAAGATAAAATGTCTTGACAATGAATTAGCAGCAATTCATGAGGACACCAAACATAGAAAGGGATTAATTCAACTGATTGACATAAGATATGCAATTAATTTTCAACAAATCGCCATCGATCTTACGAATACGTCCTTGTGAATTTGTCAAACTAATACCAGTTCAACAATTTAATTATTTGATCAAGTCTAAATTTTTAAGAAATAAAAAAACCCTGATTGGGAGAGATGGAATAATGGAATCGCATTTGATAATAAAGTATAAACCCAACAGAAAATTTCCAAAATACCGCAGCAACACGGTAAAGAGGTCGGCTGGCCTGAATCTTCAACTTAGACATGTCTACCTAAAAATGCTGCTTGGAACTTTTGATGTTATTTTGCAAGAACCAAATGATCTCCGCCAACCAGGTTGCTAAACGTGGAAAATTTGTTGTCTTCCCCTTTTTGTTCCAACATTTCTCAAAGACTCAAACTGCACTTAACTCACAAGCATCCTTGTTGCGCTGGTTCACTAAAACATATTTTTGGTACAAAAGACCTGGCTGCTGCACTTGTTCTTTCAATTTTCTAAACCTACCAAAATAATTCTGGTTAAAGGTCATGCCCTAACGTCATGATAACATCAGACTCATGGGAAAGTGACCGGAATTGTTCAGGCGCACCTTCACATGCTCCATTGCAGTATAGATAAGGAGCCCACAATGCTTTTATAGAATGGATGCAAACGACCTTTTTTTTTTTTCATGGAATGCGTTGCACCTGCTGCTGCAACCAAGATTCACCAATCAGTAATGACGTGAACGTGATTACCTTTACAACACCAGAAAAAGGAAAATTGGCCAAATTTGTGGTCCTGACGGACTTCGGGAAGTGGAAACTAGAAGCTAGCAATTGCTTGTTACCCTCAAGCACTATGGTTAGCTGAAAGTGGAACCAAGGATTTTTGGGCAAATGCTCTAGTCTCCTCCACCCCCAAATCACTTAAATAAAGCTAAATGGCTGAGATCACCAACATCTCCGACATAGATAGGTGATCCAGGATTAAGCACGACAGCAGCAGCAACTAATGCCTAATGGAGTATAATTGCAGCATTTGACTTTTTTTTTTTTTTGTTTACACGAATAGTTGATTAAAACTATAAAGCAACACGTCATCTTGCCAAGTATCCTATATTGTGATTTGGCTCGAAAGTCATTAGCAATATATTGTATCTTATGCAAAACCTTGGATCAGACGGAATGGGGGAACAAAAAAATCCACGTAACAACACGGACTGATTTGGAATTTAATTTTTATATGAATAGCAAGGCAGGCTTTGTTTGTTTCAATGGTCTAATCCAACGCTTCAACAGATATCCGATTCGACTGGGACAATCTATGTACACTAGAACTCGTAATTCTAAATCTTGACCTCCAACCAACCCAATAAATTTAAAGCTAGCCAATCCGAGAATATAGTTCCAACCACCCCCAAAATTTGAGCAACCCTACTATGTCCCTCTCTGATGCAAGTTGCTGAGTGGAAAAATAAAAAATACCAACGGCTGTACGCATACGTGGCACCAGACACGGAGGCAGCTAAACATAAAATGCCTCAAGGTTGAACAGGACGGGGAATACGCTGCCTTCAGGCTTAATTGGTCGTTTTCAAGCTGAAGCAAAGGAACCGATGCCTGGTTTATATATATCTAATCACTATCAGTTGATCAACCATTCATACATTCACAGCCCCATTTCCACGGAGTTCCCTGATAAGACAAGGATCCCCGAGTAGATTGATATTGACTTGGCCTTTAAAAACGTTCGGCTAGTAAGAAAATAAAGACAAAAACTCGACCAGTAAAAAAAAAAAAAGGCATTAAACTTGACAGCCAGCAGACAGTAAACTGAAAATATTCATCATGTGTTCACATCAATGTGAGGAGTCTCCTTATTTATTTCACAATGAGAAGGAGATGCAGTTGGAAAAGATATAAAAAGGACTACTCTGATTATTGGTCATTGGAAGTATACGAACTAAGAAAAGTAACCTCCTAGGTGATTTTGAATCTGCATGTTATTTTATTATGAAATCCATTTCCTAGTGATTTCTTTTTCCCATGCAACTTCAAGAGAAAATTTTGAAGACCCCCAAAGGTTCATTCGATTTTATTACTTGATTACACCTCTATCAAGCTAAAACTCTGTAATCAACATATGGTAGATTGCCAGTTGATAGATCATACAAATTGATAACATAGAAAAAGTATTGATCCAGAAGATAAAAGCCAGTATTTCAACATCGTGCACAGATCAGCAAAAAGTTGTAGTTTACTCACTTGCGGCTAGTTTCCTGGAAGAGAAATACGGAATCTCTCCAACTTTTAACTCTGGAGTGGTTGTTAAAAAGATTCTAAAGTTCTACACACTTTTATAGATGATAGTAACAAAAATGAATAGTCAATGACCTCAAAGCTTATCAAGAAATAGGCCCTAGGCTCATTCATTGTCCAACAATTTGCATTGAAGTTGTCTCTTTTGTTTTCTACATCATATTTAATACAGAAAATGACAACCATGGTGAGAAATAAATGTGAACAATTGACCAATTATCTTTGGATGGAAAAAACCACATTATAGATCACAGAGATGAACTTTCAAATGGTATATAGAAGAAGAAAATTCTATTCAGATTCTCAGGACACCTGAAAATGCACTGAAAATGCACCAAAATTTCATTCTCAGGCTGTTCCATCATACAAAAACATGTTCCTTTCTAAAACCAATTCAAAGGATAAGACCCCAAAACAGAATTACTAACAAATCAAATTCTTCAAACTCAGAAACAACACCAAAGAATGTCAATCATCCATAGATTTAAACTGCAAATAAAACAATTGAAAATTGCATAAACATATAGAAGTGGGAGAACTTTTTCTCCCAAGTGTAACACACAAAAATGAATATTTGAATTGAGTCTTCCATATGTCCATATTAATGAAGCAAAAGCATATTATAAGATTACAAACAGGGGAAAAGTAAAAGAGAGAATTTTTATTCTCTTAAACCACCCCAATAACAAAAGAAGAAAGAGCATCTAACCCTTTTCCCTTTTTTTCCTTCATTGTTCCTATACAACCCAATCACAGTTTTCTTTAATCCAAATTCTCTTCTTGGATTCTTTCCCTCCATTCAAACTAATCAAAAGTAATAAAAATACAAAAAGCAAGAAATTATAGCGAATAATAAAAAAGAAAAAAAGAGCCGCACCCGTGTTTGTGGCAATCAAAATGAATCCCATCCTCTCTTTTTAACTTAAGAGTCAGTGTGTTGTGACCTTGGATCTCTTCTTTGCCTCGCTGTAAAGCACAACTCCCATAATTGTAACAGCGAATCCAGTCATTCCCATCACGGTCACCGGATTCCTGAAGATCATAACCGACACAAACGCTGCCACTGCAGCTTTGGCATTGCCCAAAACCTGCAAAGTAAGGGCACTTGTATGCTTGGTAACCAAAAAATTTGTCAAATTCACCAAATAGGCCACCGTAGCATTCCCAACCAACAAGAAAATAATAAAAGAATCACTCCTAGCTTTCTCAAGTGTGACTCTTGCAACATTCCCTTCAATATAAAGAGTAAATGGTAACAAAATCATTGCTGCCATAGGCGCCATATACAACAGCAAGTTCATGGAATGTAGCTTCTCAGCTTCACTAGTTAACAAGATCCCTTGAACCACAGATTTCAAAGCACGACCAGCAGTAGAACCGATGCAAACCAAGAAGCCAAATAGGTTAAACAAAGGCTCACTATTACTAGCCAAAACAATCCCAAAAACCACAGGCAAAAGTGCAAAATAAACCTCAGCAGATTCCTTCTTGCAAGTGATTAAGAAAGCGAAAATGGCAGTGAAAAAAGGGGTCGTTGCGCCAATAGCTTGGTTAAAGGACACAGGAATGTACCTTAAAGAAGTGTTCCCACACACCACGGAGAAACAAAAGATGACACTCAAAGCAAAGATCTTGAAAAATTGCTTCCTTGACAAAATGTGTTGCCTTGGAACTATTTCAAGAAAGTTTATGGCTACGTAACTGTAACAAGCACATGAGACCATGTGAAGCATGGTGAGAAAGATTGGATAACGGTAGCCATAAAAACTGAGGAGATACTTGTTCAGCAAAAGGACCCCAATGTTGGACATGAACCATGAAGCAATGATCAGTGCCGTTAAAAGGTTAGGAGAGAGATGCGATCCAACGCTGTAGATGCTGTTTCTAACATCTCCAGTTGGGGTTACGGGAATGTCCAAAACCTCGTGGTCGGCAGTGGTGGTTGAGTCCAATCTTGGGTTGCTCATCCGCCTTGTTGTCCATGTTTGCGCTTCCACCATTTGGGTCTTTTGGGATCACAGTAAAGATAGTAACTTTGAGCTCAAAGACTCAAACTACTTCTTTTTCCTTTGGTTTTTCTTCTCTCTCCAAGAATCAGCAAGTGAGAAACAGAGAGAGAGAAAACAAAAAAAAAAAAGAATGCTTTTTTTTCTTATGTTTTTGTGTGGCTGCTTAGATCTGAATTCTGAAGGAGCAAAAGGACAAGGATATGTTCGGTGAGGTGATCTGATAGAGGGTGCAGATTCAGATTTGAGAAAATGGAGAAATGGGAACCGTTGGATCGTATGAAAGGGTATATTGGGAATGAAAGAATAAAAAAAAAAATCATTAAGGAGCTTAGATATTCGGGGAGTGTCGGTAATGGGGATTCGCTAGCAAGACTCTGGTCTGAATCTGACCAGATTTCCTATTTTTACGTTCTTTTTTTTAACAATTAACCACCTACTTCTACTAGTTTTACCATTTCTTTTTTATTTTTTACAGTGAAGAGTTTATTATTTACAGTGTATCTTTATGGTAAAGTGACAAATTCTGCAATTAATGTAATTTTATAGTATCTTAAATTTTGCAATGTTTCTTTCTGATTGCCCTCCTCTCTTCAACTAATTGTTATTCAAAAACATCTAAAGGACATATAATTCTTGCTCTTTATCCTTCTAAGCACATGTTTGAAATTCTATAATTCCATTAAATGTCTCCCTAAAAGCATATAAAATAACATATATATTGTCCTTTCTTTTCTTTTTAGTGTTGATTTAGAAAGGAGTGTTTTAGGTTTTCGGTAAATAAGGAAACAAGTCATTAAAAAAAAAAAAAAGAGTTCCGCTTCTTCTTCTATTGGGCTTTGTTTGGATTAGTCAAGGTTGAATTTGGGAGCCCAATTAGAGCTTTGGATGCAAATTCCATTTTTATTGTTGGGTTAGCATTTTCTTGGACCTTGATACTGACTAGATGTAGACCATATAGAATAGGAGTAGAGGTTTGGAGCATTAGATTTTTTGGGCCCATTTAAGTAATCTGAAATGAAAGCGGACATTTTGCATTACCCTTTATTCCACAACAGCATTAGAAACTGCCAAAGCTGACCAAATATAGGTGCAAGCTAGCGTGCTAGCTAAGGTTAGAGATTGATCGGTAATGGAGCCCAACAATTTCTCCCCTTTCACCAAGCAACTCAATTAACACCATTAATGTTTCTCACATCTGCAACGTTACATCAAAACAGAACAAGATAAAATCAAAGCCTCAAAACCCCTTCCAAGTCTTGAAATCTGTCATATTAAATCGCTTTTTCTTCTACAATAATTCTTGAAACTGTGGTGAAGGTTCAGCTTTTGGATTACCCACTCGCATGACACTCTTTGGAGAGAAACCAATAAAGCTGGAAGAGAGATTGCTGCCACTACTGCTACTGTTTTCCACTTGGAGAGAAATGGAGAGGTTGGTATCAGCATTGATAGTAGCTTGAGAAGCTTGCACAAGCTTTCTTGAACGGTGGCGCCCTCTGTGCATGTGCCTTTCACAGTATTTGTGATCTGGGACTGCTTCTTTGCTACACCTCCATTTCTTCCCATCTGTTCGTCTACATCTTCCTGGCTCTGGATCCAGCCCATTCTTATACTCCAAGCGCAAAGATCCACAACCCAAAACTGGACCAAGAAACGAAAAGAAAAAGTAAACTTCATTACTGCTACTAAAAAAAGATAAGTACTGGAGAATTTTGTAGGGACTAGGGAGATGGTTTTGGGTACTTACAAGCGGAAAAGAGTTGATAAGGATTTCCAAGAGAACCAGCAACACTTTTCCATATAGGAAGAAGAAGATGATGGGGCACAGGAAGTCCAGCTACTATGTACTTGTAAATGAGAGATTGAAGCTGTAGTTCCTGCAGCTGAAAAACAGTGAACCCAGTTGGCCTATGACCAGACCCACGTCCAAGCTCGAGACCTAACCCAATTGGAGGTGACCCTTCTTCTCCTCCGCTCAACTTTGTACTGTCCATGTTCCACGAATCACCAAAATTTGTAAGTCCAATTCCTGTAAAAAGAATTATCATCACATGATAGTCAAATTTTTTGAGAAATTAAGTAATGCGCTCTCGATAGTGAGAGAGAGAAGGAAGAGTACCGAAGTCTGCAAAACGGGCAATCTTGAGAGGTGAGTCTTGGGGATCCATTTCTTTCGTATGGGCATAAATCAGAGAAAAACACAGGGTCAAAGAAAAGATACAGTATGGTCTGCAACATACACTGAATTAACAGTGAAAGGTTAAAGATACATACTCTCTGAAAGTTGCAGCACTAAGAATAGATTTTTCAAGTCAGAAAATTTTACTTCGTGGCAGAGTAAATGGAATGGTGTAGGATGGGCTAAGGGGGTATCTCCTGAATTGTGTTTTTGTAACAAAAGAAAAGAAAATAATTTGTTTCCTAAAATGACAAATGCAACAATGACTCCAAGCACGCCCGATTGTCTTTCTACGAATTCCTGTTCCTATCCAACAAAAACAAAGAGATTAAAGTGAGACTGAAGGTCTTCTGAAATGTCAGGAAACTCTGCAGGTGTTTGCAGCCAGAAACAAACGCGTTTGTCAGGTAATGAGTCGTGACAAGTTGAATCTGGGACCCGCAATATGACGAAGAGGACAGTCTTTTTGGCTTCTTTTCCCTTCCCCCCTCTTACGAACAAGCAAACTGTTTCATCATAAGTACTTATAAACAGACACTTAACACAACGCGTGAGCAACAACACCTTAAATTTTGAATCGACACCATTCTCTCTCATTCTGCACTTGCACATGAATTGGGGAACTGCAGAGAGTGATGACTTGGATTTGGTCAATAGTTCATTATAGTTGCGGATTCAATTGATAGCCCCACTTCTTTTCAGCCCTTTTCTGAATTGAACCTTCAAGTTTTCTGGTTTTTTGCAAATGTAGCATTACTGATTTTCTAGTTTTTATAAAGCAAGCAAGAGCACGAATTTAGACATCATCAATCAAATATAAAGACATGTGCAGTGCAGATGTAGTGGTGCTTCCAATCTTAAGTTTTGCAGTGTATAGTTTAGAATTGTTATACTCGTGCGCCGTGGAGACTGGCTATTGCTTTTCAATTTGCTTATCCAATAAGAAAAACCCACTAACGAATTGCATTGACCAAATGTCAAAACTCAATCAAAATAAGGACTTTGTGTTAGTATGACAAAAACACTTTAAAATGGCGTCGCCCGGACTCGAACCGGAGACCTTCAGTGTGTTAGACTGACGTGATAACCAACTACACCACGACACCATGGGTATCAGCACCGCTTACGTTTTCATCATATTTCTAAACCAAAAAAAAATTTTAACTATCTGGGTTGCGATCTTCTTACAATGACAATCTTATTTCCCCCTTTTTCAATGCTACATTATAGAATATGCCTAGCACGAGGTTATCGTGATGTAATTGTCACGACAGGCGCAGGAGTCCTTTCCTTTTATATGCTTTGTGCTAAAATAAGACATCAAAAAAACCACTACAAGATGTGATGGCAGTAATGATCCTTGATCGACTTATTATTGTGGGTTAGAAATTAATTGGGATCGAGACCAAACCCCAAACGCACAAACGAGTCCCAACTCTCATCCCCTTACAGTAATAAAGGCTTCACTTTGTATTTGGGATCTTCTATCTCTCTAGCACTTTTAGTTATAAAAGATATAATAAAATAAGATAAGATACTATTATAAGTAAGATTAAATAAAATAATATCATTTTATTTTATATTTAATGTATACAAGAATTATGATAGGATAATTTATTTATTTATCAAAATTATCATTTTTTAAAATTTATATAATTTAAATTATTGATATGATTTTTAAGGATATAATTGAATATATAAATTTAATCCCATAGATTAAAAATAATCTTCATTTGAATAAAATTGAATAATCCTATGTCAAAAGAATATTAATTTTTCTTACAATTCTTATCTTTTTTTTTATATATACAAATAAAATATAATATAAGATAATTATTGTCCTATCATATCAATAATTTTATGTATCAAACATAATCTTAATTTTTTTTATTATACGCCATCACGATGTGAATGTAAAGGAGTAACAATAGTATGTTCTCTATTACATCTAAATATACTTGTAGCCGCATCAATTGATTGAAATTGTGATTTGGGACTGAATATACCTAACAATTTTAGATATGATATAATGATATGATATAAAAATGATACAAAAAATTATATATTTTGAAAAATCATGTTATGTGTTTATTCGTATCAACATGAATTTTAACACGATACAATTTGTGTCTTATATGTGTTGATATATCTAAACGTGTGTAAGATGCAAAAAATACGTTAAAAGAAAATATATCATACGAATACACATTTAACACGTAATATGATACGAAAACACATTTAAATAAAACGTGTCACTTGAATATTTGTTTTACTTGTAACACGATATGAAAACACGTTTAACACATTTTTATATTTATTTTAATTTAATATAAATATATAACGATTATTTTAATATTTATGTTTTAAAATTATAGTATTTAATTAGCTATTTAATATACCATAAAAAGATTATTTTAAATATTTAATTATGATACTCATTTAATAATTATTATAAAATTATTTTTATGTTAATAATATAAACACAATATAAATAATAATATTGGTACGATATGTCATTATTTTATTTTTTAATATTTAGTAGTTCATCATTTTGAATTTGGTATTAAAAATAAATATAGTTATGTATACATTTATATTAAATGCATATATTAAAATATATATGTAAATTTAAATATATGTATATATTAGTAATGTATACATTACATTATATATATATATATGTTAAATGCATATTAAATGGATTCAATTTTTTTATACTTTTTAAATATGCAAGTATTTTTTATATTAGTAATGTATACATTACATATATAAATTTTAACATATTAAATACATATTATTCTTTGTAACTTTTTATTCTAAGATCAAAAAATAATTTTTTATTAAAAAATATAAAACAATAATATACATTTAATTGTTAATAACAAATAACATCCAACAACCAACAATATAATCATTGATCAACTAAAGTAAATCCAAATCACATGAATATACAATAATATATTGTGATGATAATAAATAACATTTATAATAATAAAAACTATATTATAATCTTAATAACATAAATTATGATATTCGATTATTTTAAATTATATGAGTTAAAATAATATATTATATATTTGAAATTAAAAATAATACATATTCTAAATAATATATGTAATGATAAAAAATTATATAATTTATTTTATATTACATGATATGATATTATTAAAACGTAACTTATAAATTATTATGATAAATACACATCTTGATAATTTATTTTAAATACTTTATTTTAGATCATCTGATAAGAGATTATATATTTGAAATTAAAAATAACATATTTATTCTAAATGGCATTTATAATGATAAGAGATTATATAATTTGTATTTCTATATCACATGATAAAGTATTAAAATAATATAATGTATATACTCATCTTACTGACTTGTTTTATATATTTTATTCTAAAATTTAAATAATATCATATAATATTCATAGATAATTATAAAAAATTATATAATTTATTATGAATCATATGTATATAATTATATAATTTATTCAAAATCATATGTATATGATTATATAATTTATTCAAATCATATGTATATGAGTATACTATATATCTATGATAATTAAAATATGTAATTTATTTTAATCATATTATAGCGTATAAAAAATTATTATAAGTAACACAAATACATTAATTTGACTTTTTAAATATATATTAATTTATTTTTTTAATAATTTTAATAAGTCATTAAGATTTTTTACAAATAAATCATGCTAATTAAGAAATTATTGAAAATATATAATAATATTTATATGTTAAAAACGAAATAAATCTAGTATATATATTAATATTATGTATTAAAAATATAAAAATATAAAAAAATAGCTTTTGAAATAAAATTTTTATCTTATATAATATATGATTATTACATATTCATAATTTATTTATTTATTTTAAATTAAAAATTACTAAAATTTATTACTTTTTTACCTAATCAATAACTTTAAGGCTGATTTTTAAACTTTCAAGGTTGATTTTTATTACCCTTAGTATAAAATAACTAAAAAAAATTAATTTAACAAAATTTAAATTTAATTTAATTTTATACTTTCAAGACAAATAACAATCTGCTTTTAGTTTTACATGCCAATTGGGTAGCCCACTGGTTAGGTAACCAATCTGCTTTTATTATTTAACAACTAACATGCTTCCATTAAAGCCACACGTGTAGAAGCTTAACCACTTAATCTTAAATTTTTTTTTCCCATTTCTTGGTTTTCACATTTTCAGTCTTTTGTTTCGGACTTCTAGACGCTGCAACCTTCTTTCTTTTTTCAGCCATCAAGCCAGGCAGCCATCACTCATTTTTCGCCTATTCTTGCCTCCTTCCTCAAGCAACCACCGCTTGCCTTTCGCTCACAAATTGCAATCAATCCATCAATTGATAGAGCCTTGTCTCCCTTCTAGTTTCGCTGCGCCGTTTACTGCCAGAACACTGAGAAAATTATTGATGTATTACTCTGAAACTAATAGGTTGGTATGGGTTGAATTGAATACGATGTTTGAAGTTTAAAATTTGATAATATTTTATATGTATTTATGTTCAGACTTGTATTTTGTATTTTAAATACTTCGATACATAAGTTTGGTTTGTGTTTACAATGTTATTAATGTATATCATATTTATTCGTGTTATTCATATTATATTTAAATGAATTAATTATATATATTAATCATATAATATTATGTATAATATGAATAATAAATATATTATATTTATATTTAAAATATATTTTATAATTTATGTAATATTTATGTTTTAATAATTTATGTTATTATATATGTCAAATACAAAGCGAAATAAAATTAAATATACAAATTGCCAAGTCTAGGGTTGAAGGATTTGGTATTGATTTTGCTTTTCTCATGAAAATAAGCAAAAGCTAGTTTGACTAAATATCGAATACTTTTTTTTTTTTTAGAGGAAAGCATAGCCCTTGCAAGAGAGGAAGAAAAAAAGGAGGAAATTTTAATTCGAAATTAAGATTTTTATATTTTTATAATATTTTTTTTAACCAGTAAATCAAAATGTGTAAAATAGATTGTCAAGACCTTTACTTATGCAATTTACAATTCAAAAATTTATTGGACTTATCTTTTTGAAAATTTTATCAAAAAAAAAAAAAATTCCTCACGTGCTTGAGTAATTTAGAATTGTGTAATGTATTACCCACCTTAGGATACGTATCAAGAAAATTAATTTTTGTATCACTATTTGTCATTTTTTTTGTAACATGATTCTAATTTATTGTACAACAACTTAGAACTTATCAATAATTTATGCATAAATAAATGCATCAATGCAAATCGATGCATGATAAAAATAAAAACAATAATTTTTGTTACGAACTTTTAAAACTGCTAGGGAGCTATTTTTAAATAAAAAAACTTTTATTTTTATCGTTATTAAATTTGACGACGATGGTTTCATCAAAATTTATCATGAATGTTACATAAACTAATTCTTTTGTGGAAACCTTTGAAGTTGTCAGTTTCGTATTGTCATTTCATTCTTAGGAAAACAACAGATTTGATACAACTTCCGTCATGTCAAGGACCAATTATTTTCAGAAATCAATGTTGTTCATTATTTTAGTTCAAAAAAAAGGGCTAGCCGCCTAGGCCCACGAAGATCCGCACGTTTATTCTGAATATGAAGGAAAATTGGGTTTCTTTTCAACTCCATTAAAATTTGGCATGTTACGCATGTAGCCTTTAATAATACCAAAAAAAAAAAAGATCAATGGCTAAAAATTTCACTTTCAATGTGTTGGATTTTTCATCTTAATTTTATTTTAAGACAGACTGCATACATAATCTTTGAATACGATCTGCCTGACAACGGAGATTGGGCATGGAGCTATTCCTCTAATACTTGTATATGAAATATCTTTTAAGATAATATTTAGTATGGGATAATTATTCAAAAAAATATGATGATTATGCATAGTGATTAAAATATCGTATTTAGTAACTATTTAATGATTTTGTATGATAATAATTTTGAATCAATAAGAGTGATTAAATAATTATTTAAAAAATAATTTAATTCTTATCTAAAAGAGTGAGAAATTTTTATCATCGAAGTAAAATAATATATAAAATTAATAGTAATTAATATTACTTATTTAATATGTAAATTAAAATTTTATTTTTAAAAATTAAATATAATTATTATAATTTTTTATATTTTTAAACTAATATTAATTGCAATAACTTCAGACATATTTTATGTGATTGTTGTTGATTTCTTAAAAATTATTTAAAATATAATCTTTTGATTTTAATAAATTAGTTTTATTTTCTAATTCAAATATTTTTAACATAATTTATACTATAAAAACTAATTTAATATCAATAAATATATTTTTAATTTAATAATTTAATTACGTTTATTATAAAGTAAATAAAATATTATTAATATTTTAATTACAAATTATTATTTTTAAATAACATTGAAATCATTAACTTATCTAACTATTATAATGCGCATTGCTATTTTGGCATTTTCATACAAAACAATATTTGATTTTTAATAATATTAAATACAATGATTTTTAATTAATAAGAATTAATGATAATTAACTAAACAAAATGATTTTAGATCATGAGTGATAAGATCATTTTAGTAGTAAAATCATTTTAGTGATTAAATTATCATGATAATTTTAAAAACATACCAAACACTATCTAAGTGGTTTAGTTGCTGACAAATGTCTAATATTAAGTAATAAAATTTCTTATTTTTTTCATAGTATATATAATGATCATTTTATTTTTAATAAAAATTTTTTGTCAAGTGTCAAATATTAGACAATAACTATTTACCACTTTCATATTATATAATTATTATTTTATTCTTAATAAAAATAATTTAAAATATAAATATTTAAAAAATAAAAATATCCTAAAAAAAAAAAAAGGCAATTACACAAAATCTATAAATATATATGATAACTATCCTTTGAGGGGTCTAGCTGTTGACAAGTGTCTAATATTAGATAATGATTTTTTTTACCCCTTTTTTATATTATATAATGACAATTTTACCTTTAATAAAATAATTATTTAAAATGTAAATAATAAAATTTTTTGGTCAAGTGTCGAATATTATACAAGGACTATTTTACGTCTTTTATATTATAAAAAAATCATTGTATCCTTAATAAAAAATAATTTAAAATATAAATATTAAGAAAAGAAAAATATTCTAAAATTAAAAAAAAAATCAAATACTCACAATTCGACAGTCTCATTTTTAACAAGTAATAATTAGAAAACAAACACAAATCACATAGAAAAAACCATAAATTTGGGCTAAACAAAACAATTTAAATATTTGCTAACCCATTTTTTATTTTATTTCCCTATTTAATTTTTAATTTTGTGTATAAATTAAATTTATCAAATTATAAATTTGTAAAAAGAATAAAATTAAAAAATAATTGAGTAAATTTAATAATAAAAATAATCATTTAAGAAATAGAACGGAATAATTTTTGAATAATTAAGCAACTAAATAAATTTTGATTTCAAATAATTAAATAATTGAAAAAATATAGTTATGTTTTTTCAAACAATTAATGAAAAACAAGGTTTTTCCACTTTCCCGACTCTAGTGCTTTTTTTATTTGAAAATTAAAATTAACCTAGCAACACTAATCCCATAAATAAAGTATTGATAGATTTATCTTTTGTGAGAATATATTTTTGTTAGCGATGTCGGTGGATAGGATATAGGTAGGATAGAATATCTTATATCTTTATATTTGAATTTTTATATTATATTTATTTTTGTATTCATATCTAACATTTATTTTATATTTATTTTTATCTTTATTCTCATCCGTATTTAATAGGTACGGGTAGGGCTGTAAACGAGTCGAGTTGAGTCGAGTAGTGAGAAGCTCGAGCTCGACTCATAACTCGGGGCTCGATATTCGGCTCGAGTTCGATCGAATTTTATTTTTTAAGCTCGAGCTCGATTCGTGATCGAATTCGAGCTACTCGAGCTCGCTCGATTAAGCTCGATTAATATAAAAAATAAGCTCGATTCGTATACTCGACAAGAGTTCGATTATTCATGCTCGAACTCGAACTCAAACTCGGATTCGAAATATTTTATTAATTAAAAAAAATAAAAATATATTTAAATATAAATGCTCGATTAGGCTCGCGAGCTACTCTAGTCAGATATAAGAATACTCGAATTTGGCTCGATCCATAAGTCGAGCTATTCGAGCTCGAGCTCGATTCGACAATAATCGAACCGAATTCGAGTTTTTTTTCGAATCGAACTCAAGTAGCTTGCGAGTACTAATGTATCATTTACACCTCTAGGTACGGGTAATCATCATATCCGTAACTTTTAACAAAAAAATAAAAACTAAAATTTTGTTAGCTTTTTTTAATTTTATCTTGTATAATTAAGTATTTTTTTATAAATATATATTAATATATATTTTTCAATAAAAATTATTAAATTTAAATAATTTAAAATAATAATTTATATTATTTAATAAAAAATCTATATACTAAATATAATAATTATATATGTAAGGTATGTATATGAAAGGAGTGTTGTATTATCTAACTCTAATTCTGTACCCAATAAAAATTTAAAAACATAAACATCCACATTCCTATACTTGCAATGTGATATTTATCTCATTCTTATTCGGGTAAAAAATTAAATTTCTCATTAAATATGAGTAAGATTAATATCTCTAATTTTTATATATTTTTTAAATTTAAAAACTAATAAAATCTTTAAAAGAATCTTAATACTCTCAATTTTTTTTTCTTTAAAAACAAAAAAAAAATTAAAAAATTGAATACTTTTTCTATTGATAAAGTTAATAAATATATTTATAATTTATATAAAGTTTATATTTGATACATTATCAAATTTTATATACTATCAATAAATTAGATAATATCATTTCATTAATAAATAAATATAAACTCTTAAAATAAATATATAAAAATTAATATTTTTTAAAAAGTTTTATTCATTGATGATGTGATATCATCTGATTCAATATGATATTATCTAATTTATTGATAGTACATAAAATATATATATTAATAATATATCAAAAATAAATTCATTTATATATAATATACAAACACTTAAAAGAAAATCTTAGATTCATAGCAGTAGTAATAATGAAACAAAGAAAAGTAAATATTTCGAAATTGACTGACAGCATGCAAGTATTTAATGTAGAATTTTGCTATTAAATTCCAACCCTATTTTTATCGATCACAAGTGACAACAGGTCCCATTTCACGTCACGCCATGGTGTGCATCACATCAAATGTTCACATGGTTCTGGTTTTTTTAGGGTAATAAATCAGAAACCAGTCCCAGCAGAGACCTTACTTTTACTGTGTTGCGGAGAGGGAGAGGGAGGGAGAGAGATGAACTTCTTGATAAGCTCCTTGCTATGTCTTTTGTTGACCTGGGTCCTGGTTCAAGCTTTCCATTCAACTAGAAGGGGAAGCAAAGCAAGTTCCAGCAATCTCCCACCTGGTCCGCGGCGGCTTCCAATCTTCGGAAATCTGTTCGATCTAGGGGACAAACCTCACAAGTCCTTGGCTAAGCTTGCCGAGACTCATGGTCCTGTAATGAGCTTGAAACTAGGCAGCTTAATCACGGTAGTTGTTTCCACAGAAAAAACGGCGAAAGAAGTCCTGCAAAAGCATGACCTCACATTCTCTAATCGAACTATTATCGATGCCGTCCGAGCCTGCCGACACAATGAAGTCGGGTTGCCTTGGATACCTGTCTCGCCACTTTGGAGAAACCTTCGCAAAGTATGCACTATGCATCTTTTCTCCAGTCAGAAACTCTATGCCAATCAATACCTGCGTCGCAAGAAAATTCAAGAACTCACTGCCAATATTAAAAAAAGTTGCCACACAGGTGAAGCAATTAACATAGGCCAAGAAGCTTTCAATACTTCAATTAATTTGCTCTCAAACACAATTTTTTCTATAGATTTGGTTGATCCAAATTCACCTCTTGCTCGAGAATTCAGGAAAACTATGTGGGGTATCGTGAAATTGGCAGGGAAGCCTAATTTGGCGGATTATTTCCCCATTCTTAGAAAGATTGACCCGCTAGGTGTAAGGAGCAAAATGACTATTCATTTTGACAAGATGCTTGATCTTTTTGGTAAAATGTTTGATGAGCGATTGCAATCAAGAAAAGCTCAGGGTTCTACTGCATCAAGTGATATGTTGGATGCTTTAGTTGACAATATTATTGAAGGCGATTCAGAGGAGCTTAATAAAACGCATGTCACACATTTGCTTTTGGTAATCGTTTCTCTTCCTTTAATTTTCTCTTTGTTAAGATCGGTTGGTATCATCATCTGAAACTACAAATAAGAATTTAAGCATGTCGAATGATAGGTTTTATTTGTTGCTGGGACTGATACAACATCAAGCACATTAGAGTGGGCAATGGCAGAACTACTTCGTAATCCACAAGTTTTAAGTAAAGCTAAGCAAGAACTAAAGCAAGCTGTTGGCAAAGGAAATCCAGTCCAGGAATCGGACATAATTCGTTTACCTTACTTGCAAGCAATTATCAAAGAAACCTTCCGAATGCACCCGGCTGCGCCTCTGTTAGTTCCTCGCAGAGCTGGAGCAAATGCAGAAATCTGTGGTTTCACAGTTCCAGAGGGAGCACAGGTTTTCGTTAACGCATGGGCTATAGGTAGAGATCCAAGCATTTGGGAGAACCCAAGTGCTTTTATGCCAGAGAGATTCTTGGGGTCTGACATTGATGTCAAAGGCAGGGATTTTGTGCTCATTCCATTCGGTGCTGGACGACGAATATGTCCTGGATTGCCTTTGGCAAATAGAATGTTGCATTTGATGTTAGGTTCTCTCATCCACTCCTTTGATTGGAAACTTGAGGGTGGAATCTTGCCAAAGGATATGAACATGGAAGAAAATTTGGGCTTGCGGGCTATCCCTATTCTAGTGTGATAATACCGTTTAAATTAAAAGAAAAACGTTCCTAGTTTGCAATGCATTTGTGAGGACCATTGTTGAATTGCTCCTCTTGTGTCTTTTGCAGTCAAATAATCAAAACTTTACTTCTCTATTGCTCTAATATTAATTGTAGATATTTAATTTTATTTGAATTAATAAAAATGAAACTTAAATTATACTCATTATTTTAACGCGTTTATTTTAAATTTATTTGAGTATTTTAATTATGTTTATTATATATTGGATTTAATTATTATTTTTTAATTTTTTATTAATCTTAAAAAAAGGGCAACAAAAGTCGAAAACAAAAATGCTGGAAATGGCAGAATTGATAAGGATCTAAAGTACAAGCTTTACCCGTCTGCCACCCCAATTTCATCACCAGACACGTGCCACTGCCAAAATTTGTCAAAATGTTCAACAAAGTAGAAAAACCAAATTTCAAACTTTGAAAATTTTGGCAAAAGTTGTCGGTGGCTTGAAAAAAAAAATCCTCTATGCCAGACTTCATGGGATAAGGATTCTTATTAAACCCTAAAAATCCAACCTCTGGTTTAGGGAATAAGGCGAGAAAAAAATTTCAGAGAGGGAGGCTTCGTTTTGCAGTAGCAAACAAAACCCCACTCCCATTCGGCTCACCCACCAAAAACATATCCACCTTTAAAAAATCCATCAAAATCGTCATCCACATTCCCTGGGGAAACAAAAAATATAAAAAATAAAAAGGCTTGATTGGCACAACTTGAGATTTTTTCTAGGAAATCTAATTTAGGAAAAGTATTTAAGAGAATGAAAGGATCAATTTAGAAATTTTTGAAAATTTTTTTAAACTTTTCAAAATTTATCGGAACTTAAAAAAGTATGAAATTTTTTGTGATCAATTGAATTTTTTAATTCAAAATATGAAAAATTGATCGACAACTGAGATTTTGTTTAATTTACGGGGATTGGTTGAAGATCCTAATAAAAATAATTTTTTATAATAAAAAATAAATTAATAAAATAATAAATATTTAAAAAATAATAAATTAAAATAAATTAAATATTTAATTTGATTAAATATCTCAAATAAGAATTTAAAAAAATTAAAAGAGTCTTATTTTTCTTAATTATTACCAAGAGATATATTTTTTTGATTTCACTAAATGATTGGGATAATCTTTAAATCAATTTTTTTGAAAAAATAAAAATAAAAATAAATAAATAAAAAATATATCTCATGATAAAATTTTGAGAATTTTGTAAAAGATTAATTTTTTTAAAAATTTTCTAAATGAATATATTTTCAATAAATTTCGCCAAAAGGTTGAAAGATTTATAAAATATTTAAATAATAAATTTTTACAAAAACAATAAAATTTTCATTATAAATGAATCTTAAAAAATTAATTTTAAATATCGAAAAAGATTGTATTATTAAAGTGAATGAATAACATGTGTTTAATTGGCATTATTTTTTGAACAGGTAATGTAAAAGTGTTAATACTTTTTTTACTTGTAATCGTATTTTTGAATTCAATTCTGATTTCGAAAACTGTAAATATTCTTGTAATAAACTTTAAATTTAGTTTAAATGTTCTATTAAAAGGATAAAATTTTACATAACCAATCACACCTAATTAAAAAAATAAATGATAACTCTAAAAATTTTTATTAAGTTTAACGATCAAGCTTTCCCAAACGAAAAAATCGTTATGACATTAATTTTAATGTTGTTCATATCCTTTTACTTCTCTTTGACATCACAATTCACTTCCAATTCTCATTTTGTCTAATTGCCGTTTAATTCCTTTTTTTTTTTTGTAAAAAATTGAAAAAAAAAAATTTCTTTCTCTTCTCTCTAATTGAATCTAGTGCTAAACCCTTCTCTATAAATCTTCATCTATCTTCAATTTTCGATCTTAATTTTTGAGTTTAACTCTTTAATTTAATTATTTTCATATTTTTATTGTTGAGATTTGGGTTTTTCCAATTTAATTGTTAGATATGAGATTAGGTGTGGTTTGTTATTTGTGGCTTTGACTATGTTACGCCGGTTTACTCGATTAACTCTTGATTAACATGATCAAACTCTTGGATCATTTCGATACTGGATGTCTGAGTGACCATGATGTTTGCACTCAAGGAAATAGCTCGCCCTTCACTAAAGAGGTGGCTTACCCCTCAGTAAGGAGGGGACTCGCCTAATATTTCACTGATATCCCATCAATGTATCACTTTAGAGTTGAACACATAGCCTCCAACTCGCCGGGATCATTAAATGCAATACATGCTCATTAAATGCAAGTTGCAATCATTCACCTGGACTTTTCTCAAACTCCACGCATACATTTCAACTATTAACTATCTCAATCAAATAATCATTCATTGACTTATATATAAAGTAAAGAGAAAACTCAGGTATGTAAGAAGAACAACTCTATACTACACACCGACACAACTCTCCTTCCATCATCCTATACACCTTTCACCTTCTTCCACACCTTACCTCCTATAATCTATTAACTTGAATGTCAGATCATGCCTCGGAGGAACACTTCCGACGTCCTCTGACTGTGCTTTTTGATTGCAAGTTCAGGCCACCTAATCTTTAACGAATTTTCACCTACTCCTTCTAGCTAAGACACCAAAAATTCTATCATCAGACTAGTTTGGATTTATTATAGGGAAAGAGATTTGAGATTAAAGAAGCAAATAAGTGAGAAAAGGAAGGAAAGAAAGAGAAAGCGAAAGTTTTTGGATCATTAGTAAAAGCAAAATTTTGAATTCGATTTTAAGTTTTATTTTTTGGGTGAAATTAATTCATGAACAACAGCAACAAAAAAAAAAGCTCTTTGCTACATCACTATTTTCATTCTGAATGAGGCCCCCTTTGGGTTACATGGGTCTGGATGCATACCCAACTTCTCAAAGATAGATGCTTTTTGTCAAGCGTCTATCCCTAATTCTTGCAGCGGAGCTGGAGAAAGTTACAGCTCAGAGATAAACATAGACCATTGCTAGTAAAACAGGCCTGGATCAAATATGCCAATTTGGTTGCACCCAAAAAATATATGCTGATTTGGTTGCCTTCAAAAACTGGGGAGTACAATGCAGGATCTAGGTGGGAATGGTTAAGACGTGCAAACAAAGGTCTTTTGGCATAGATTGATTGGTTTTCTAATCGTATTCCCAGTCATTCTTTTATATCCTGGCTCGCTATCCTAGATAGATTAGCCACCCTCGCCCGACTTAGCTTATGGGGAATTGTAATTTCTAACACTGGATGTTGTTTTTGCAATATGGCTGAAGACTTTAGAGACCATTTGTTTTTCACATGCACTCTTTTTTTGTTGGTACGAGGTCTGGTTACTGGGAAGTTAGAGAATTGAAATGCAACTTTAATTTTTTTAAAAAAATAGACAAAAGTAAATAAATCATTTGGGTTGATCGAATTTTTATTCACATGTACTTTCTCCAAATTGATTTAAAAAAGAATTTTGCAGCTATCTCCAATCTAGAAGGGAGATAGGCTTATTGAATTCACTACTTAGAAAGAAAAAAAAAAGCTTAGTAAATTCACTTGAGCCCCTTACATATTTAAAGGTAGGTAGCTGATATCTTGATTTTTATGTCACGAGTTGAGACTTAAACTTCGAATTCGTGCGATTTCGAGATTCGAACATTCACTTTTTCGACATTTCGAATCAGCTTAACCATCATGTTTACATCCTTGTGAGGTATTATCCGTTCTGACCCCTATAACATCACGATTTTATCCTACAAAAGACGCTTCATAAGACAGAAATGGTGTAAACTCTTTTATATCCCAGTGACCCTCCTATTATATTCGATGTGAGATTCATGACTCTTTTTTAGGTTCGTGATATTCTCTTCCACCCAACCTTTTGATACCCTCATCACAGAGGCTGACCACCTTACTTACCTCTCTCGAGGTGCTTGGTGTGGATCGAACGGTTTAGGACTGGCTCTGATATCACTTGTCACGGGTCGAGACTTAAGCTCCGAACCCGCGCGACTCCGAGAGCTTAAGTCTTGACCCGTGACACTTAGCTTATCATAGTATGCTTGTATGGAAATATATCACTAGTAATTATTATATTATATTAAATTAATTATAATTTAAAATTATTCACAATTTATCAAATTTTTTGTGAAATTAAATTTATAATTTTTACATAATTTTTTTTTACATATAAATAATGAATTTTGTGATTGATTAATTATAAAATTAATGTAATAAAATATTGTAAATAAAATGATCTCACATCGGTAAAGCTAGAAATACTTGGCCAGAATTAATTTGATAGAGTTTTTAAGGATGATATTCACACCAGTACAATATTCGCATTTAACTATATTATTATACAATGTTTGGTAAGTCTGGTGAGATATGAATCATATATATAATAGTGATCAACCTCAACAACAAACGATATAGGGAACATTGAGCATCCTTGCATCAGCAAGATAGAAATGGTGCCAAATCGGCCCTTCAATCCCAAAAACTGGATTGTACGAGACCAAAGCATGATGTAGTTAGACAATTACCCATGATTTATTTACAGTAGTGTACGCTTGTTCATAAATGTCTTGCACGAAACCCTATGCTTCTCTTTTGGTGTGGTATTATATTGTTATTATACAAAGAATGTGGTATTATATTGTTATTATACAAAGAAAGCAGGAGCCTGGTACAAATCAAACAATCTAGGAATATGGACTAACCCTTCAAACAACACTCCAATTTTGACAAAGGGCATTATTCAAACGAGAATGAGAAAGTTTAACAAAATTGGTCATTTTTATTTTTACATCAAAACTAATTATTTGTGTTGTTGAGATATGATTCATATGTGAGTCACATCATTAAAAAATTTGAATGAGATATCATATATATACATTAAAGACCCCAAAACTTAATAGTTTAAGCTTTTCAACTAAAGTGATATCCAACATGTATGTATAGGCCCTTTAGTATACTCTCATAGGTTTTAAGTATGGTTTATCTCCCCAACAAGTGGTATTAGAGCTAAAAGTCACAAGTTCGATTAGTCACGGGTTCGAGTCACAGGTTCCAATCCCAGTAGTGTTACTGGATGAGAGATTGTTGACAGATCGAAAGTTGGTCACGTCCATCAATTTCATGTACTTAAA